GTGACTCGACCGTCGCCGCCGTGGGGGTCAAAGTGCACCCACCCACAGGCCGCCTTGCATTTGGTTGTGTAATTTTCTGCCTTTGACCCCCCCCCACCCTTGTCCAGAGGGAGTATGCGCGCGCGGTTGCCGCCTCGCCTGTCTGCGCCGTCGCCTCGAGGCCGACCTCGAACAACACTGGGGCGTTTTTTTGGCTGGCCCAACGCCTTTCCGCCAGACTCCGTTCCGTCCGTTTTCAGGATGGTCGCTCTTGGCTGGCCCTCCGATGTGGAGAAGGACTATATATATGTTAGATGTACCTACATCCGTATATATGTATATACATGTGTATAGACATCTATGAGAGAGAGAGAGAGAGAGCAGTCTGGATTGTGCACTACATGTGGTGCGATACCTGTTGTGCAATTGATGATGTGCAATCTATGCTGTGCAATGCCTGTGTGTGGCCTGACTTGCAATTTGGGGCTCGTATTGGTTTTTAGAGGAACTAAGCCTGCGCTTCGGTTTGGCTGCGATGCAATCGCCGTCGCCGCCCCGTCGCCGCCTCGTCGCCGCCCATAGTCTGGGCAAGTGCGTCGGGGTGGCGGCTGTGTGGTCGCCGTCGCCGCCCCGTCGCTGCCCGTCGTCTGGGCATGTGCGTCGGTTTGGCGGCTACGTAGTCGCCGTCGCCGCCCAGTCGCCGCTTCGGCGCCGCCCATCGTCTGGGCCTGTGCGTTTGCCTGGCGGCTATGTCGTCGCCGTCGCCGCCTCGTCGCCGCCCCGTCGATTTGCACCGCCGACTACGACAGCCGCGGCCGCAGTGGCGCTGACCGCTGGCGACTCCCCAGCGCGTCTCGCAGGCAACGCTGGCGCCCAGGCGCGTCAGTGCGAGTTGGTAACTCGGGCGGGAAGGATATCATGGCGACGTCGACAACGGCAGACGCGATGCGGATAGTAGAGATGTTGGTGGCGATGGTGACGCTGGCGACGGCAAGGCCAACAACGGCGCGGCAAGGCCGGTGACGCGCCGATGTTGATCATGCCGATGACGATGATGGCGCTCACGTGTCCGCGATGAAGGCTTTGGAAGTAATTCGACATGCGCGCGCAGCCGACGTGCCCGAGCGGCCCTCATTATATGTTTGACAAGGATCGTGCCCACCCCAAAAAACAAACGCGCAACCGGCGTTCGAAGGGTTTCGACATGCGCGCACGAGAGGCCCGCTACGTCGCCTACTTGGAAGCATGCGCGCCTACTTGGAAGCATGCGCGCAGTGCCCGGCGGCGTCCCCCGCCCCTCCTTCGCCCTTCCTGGGGGCGCAGTGCTGCTTGACAGGGCCTAGCATACCTCCAGGAGGGAAACAAAATACACAGACACAATTCATCGTCGATTTCCCTAAGAAAAGATTGGAAAATATGGGAAGTGGGGGGGAAGACGAAAACCCTGAACATATGGGAACATATGGAGAATCCTGTTACTTGTGTCTATTTACTTGTGTGTCCCAGGGCCCTTTCATATTTGACAGCGCCTAGCATACCTGCGAGCCCTCGGCCCAGCACTGCATGAAACAGAGGCCGTGGGGGGGCTGCCGCGCAAGTAGAGTCGCCAGAATCAAAACAAAAGGGCTCTGAAGGTTCGTCTGTCCTGGGGCTCGAGCAGGGCCTCTGGAACCAGAAAACACCAGCAGATGTTCCCGAACCTCGGACCAAAAAGAAGGGGGTGTCCTCGCCCCCCTCCAGCCGATCCCGGCGACCCGAACCCCGGAGCTGGGGGCGGCCATGCTTCGAATGGGCCCCCAGAAACTCGGTCAAGAGGGTGGGGAGAAGAATGGCGTTCTAAATCTGTCCCTGGACCGAAGATCACGCAGTTTTTTTGCCCCGAGGAGGAGGAAGAGGATGGGGGGATGGAGTGGCGCGACGATGATTGCGGGGTGAAGCTGGACAGACGACGAAGTGGACCTTCCAATGAAAGTACCAAGGCACGGCTTACGTGCAGGGCGAGAAACAGGAAGACGCTGTGCAGTGGTAGCTGGCGTATACGTAATATTGTGCTATGTTACGTTCGATTCGATCCTGTCCCAATGTCGATATGCTCTGCTGTGGTGCTATGATACGTTCTGTAATACCGTGTCATGTGATGGCCTGTTCTGCCGTGATACTCCTCTCCGCTACCGCCGTTGCTGTATTCAAAAGCGTTGGACAGTGTTCCATGGAGTAACTCTCTAACACGCTATGCTTCATTATGTTAAGTTTTGTTCTCGACGGGCCGGCGTGACGTCGTGACGCTTGGGCGACACCTTCGAGTTGTGGCTACTGCAAACGGTACGTGATATTGTGCTAACGTGTGTGTGTGTGTGTTTGTGTGGTAGGATTCTGCCCCGATGTAGAATGTGATGTTGTGTTCTCTGATGTTATGATATGGACGGGCCGGCGTGACGTCGTGACGCTTGTCACGCTAGAGACATCGTCGTATCGTTAATTAATGTGATTATTGTTTCCTGTGGCGACGCTAAGCCACATGCACGTACGGTGTATTATGTTACGATATCCCTCTGCCCTTCCGGCGTCTCACTCATGAAAGTATGTTATGCCATGCACGTTTCCGCCTCAGTATGCTATGGTACGTTATGCCATACTTTGCTTGTTTGGCACCATGTGAGGGCATGACATGATCTCTCAGCTTATGTTATACTATGAGATGTTCCGTGATGGTGTTGCTGACTTGGCTCAGTATAGTAAAGTATGACTTTATATGTTAGCATGTGTTGCCATGCCTTGTTCTGTCGTGATACTCTCCTCCACTGCACTACTTCCGTTTCTGTATTCAGAAACAAAGGTTCCACCGTGTTACATGCAGTAACGATCTTTCATGTTATGCTCTATTATGTCCTCTTCTATAGTCGACGGTCTGGCGTGACGTCGTGACACCTGTGACGTTAGATGCGTCGTCTGTTGTGATGCTCCTCTTCACCTACATGTTTCTCTTCTGGTTGAATCCGCTACGTTATGCTCATAGATGTCACTATATGGTTGGAGATGCTATGGTATGATCTGCGATGTGGCACCATGTTATTACAGAATATGTTGGCAGGATATGTTATAGTATGCTCTGTTCCGTGATGCTGATGACGACTCGGCTCAGTATGTCATGTTATGATTTGTTATGCTAGTATGATTCGCAATGCTTTGGTGCCGTTCTATGATATGCCATGTGATGTTGCCTCATGATATGATGTGTCCCGCCATACGAACTGTAGTGTGTTATGCTATGCACTGTTATATATTGATATGTTGCGTTATGCCGTCTTCTGTTATATCATGTTTTGACTCGGCATTTTATGTGATGTTGTGTTTGTGGATGTCTTGGCACAGTATACTATATCCTGACCTGGTATGCCAGTATGTGGCGATATGTTCGACTGTCGTGCTATGATGTGTCCTGCGATGAAGTGCAATGATATGGGATGTTCTGCCAAGGTGTCTTATGTTTTCCTCTGTTATGCTAGGTGTTATTGTGTTATGCCGCCGTCTGTTCGACCATGCTATTATATGATTGTTATGTCATGTTATATCGTACTCTGGTTTGTCATGATCCTGCTATGTTATGCCCTGTCATGCTATGACATGCTCGTATTATGTTTTAGTACTTTCTGGTGTGACATGTTGTGTTCTGGCGTACACCCCGCTATGCTCCGCTGGGGTAGTATGATATGTTTGGTGCCGCTGTGTCATGACATGTTTTTTTGTCAATGTGTCTTATGTTATGCTCGGTTATGTTACATTGGTTGTGTTATGTCGTTTGATGCTCCGTCATGCTATGCTCAGGCATGTTATGTGATCTGGTGTCCTCTTTGTTGGCATGATATTGATATGTTATGTTCTGCCATGTTCTGTCATGGTCCTGCTCTGGTCTGTCATGTTCTGTCGTGCCATATTGTCTTCTGTCGTGTTTGTCGAGGGTGCGAGGCGGGATACCCGGGATTCTCGGGACAACTTGGGTTCTGGCGGCAACGGTATGCAGGGATTGTTTGGTCGTGTTTGTCGAGGGCGCGAAACGGGATAACCGGGACTCTCGGGACAACTTGGGTCTGGCGGCCGCGGTATACAGGGTGTGTTCTGTCGTGTTTGTCGAGGGCGCGAGTCGGGATTACCGGGACTCTCGGGACAACTTGGGGTCTGGCGGCCGCGGTTTGTCGAGGGCGCCCGGCGGGATAATCGGGACTCTCGGGACAATTTGGGGTCTGGCGGCCGCGGTATGCAGGGAGTGTTCTGTCGTGTTTGTCGAGGGCGGGAGACGGGATAACCGGGCCTCTCGAGGCAACTTGGGGTCTGGCGGCCGCGGTATGAAGGGTGGGAGTTGCCGAGAGGTCTGTTCTTTACATCTAATGACCCCAACCTGTCCGGTGGGGAAACAAGCACGTGCGCTACAACAGCTGAAGTGCGGTTAAACAGCTCAAGTGCGATACAAGAAGTCTGCTATCTCAGCGAAAACATGGTTCGCCCAGGTGCGATACAACACACACACAACGCTATAACAAAAGCTTGAACCCCTTCTTAGCGAACTTGACCCAGGCGCCAGGTCCTGGTCGGAGGCGCTGCGCTGCTGGCTGCCAGCGTGGCCGCGTGCCCCGTGCGCGCCCCGCGCGTGCACCCCTCGGGAGGTGTCCGAGGGGCAGCCCTCCGGGGCGGCCCTCGGGGGTGGCACCCGCCACCCCGCTGCGCTGGCCCGCAGGCCCTCTGGCCCTGACCTTCCAGAGTGCTGAACAGTAGCCCTCCATACCTATATATATATATATATATATATACATATATATATATATACCTATCTGGGCTGCGTAAAACTTCGGCAGGAATTGAGACGCCAAGGTCCTGGTGCTGTCTTTTGGCCCTCGTGGAAGGTCGGGGTGGTGGTGGTGGTGGGGGGTGGGGGGGGCGGCGCTCGCAACTGGTGTGGGCCTGCCCCGAGGGCCCCACCCGGCAGCACGCAGTCCCAACACGGCGGCCGATCCTCTCCCTGCCAGGCGCCCGCGGCGGATCTGAAGCGCGCCTACCACGAGAAGCTGCGCGAGTTCCACCCCGACAAGCGACCCGACTCCCAGGGCGGCACCGGGCAGCGCGTCACCCAGGCGGCGGCATCCCGTGATTGAGGAGGGGGAGGAGGAGGAGGAGGGGGAGGAGAGGGAGGAGGAGGAGGAGGAGGAGGAGGAGGAGGAGGAGGAGCAGGAGGATGGAGGAGGAGGGGGCAGGATGAGTTGATCGAGTATGAAGAGGAGGTTCCCCCTTGATCGAGGAGGAGGAGGTGGAGGAGGGAGCAGCAGGAGGAGGAGGAGCAAGGGGGGGAGGGAAGCAGGAGCAATGGGAGCAGGAGGACGACGAAACGGGGGAGGAGGGAGGAGGGAGGGAGGATGAGGAGTGGTAGTAGGAGGAGGGGGAGGACGAGGAGTGAGGAAGGAAGGAGGAGGGGGGAGGAGGAGGAGGAGGACGAGGAGGAGGAGGAGGAGGAGGAGGAGGAAGAGGAGGAGGAGGAGGAGTTGGAGGGCGACGACGACGACGCAGCGCCCTCCCTCATTGCACTGCTCCCTCCTCCCTCTTCCGACCGCCAGCGCTGTCCTTCCCGTTCCCAATACGTGGGCCGCCAGAGTTTGCGCAGCTCTTAGGCAGCCCTTCCTGAGCTGTCACACAGCTCCTAGGCAGCGCTTCCTAAGCTCGCGCGCAGCTCCTGGGCAAGTCATTTTTCTCTTGAGGCCCATCCCTGGCCCCTGCTCTTCAATTCTTCACTCTCACTGGACCACCCCTGCTCCTCTCCCTGCCTCTCGCCCCTCCGCCCGTCTGTCCCCTCCCGACTCCCCTCCCCGATCATTCTGCCCTCCGTCCTCCCCCATCGCTTCCCCCCCCTCCCCCCCCCCCCTGTCATCCCTCGCCTCCCCCTCGAGGAGGAGGAGGAGGAGGAGGAGGAGGAGGAGGAGGAGGAGGAGGAGGAGGAGGCCCTCCCTTCCCTGACCTGGGCGGGCGACGTGTCGCCCAGGCGCTGGTCGACGCGTGGGAGGTGCTGCAGGATCCAGGGAAGCGGGAGGCGTACGACCTCGCGTGGAGGCAGCAGCACGAGGCCCACGCTGTTCCCGCCCTCACCCAGGGGGGGGGGGAGGTTTGGGTGGAGGAGGAGGGAGGGCAGGGGAGAGGGGGAGGAGGAGGAGGAGGAGGAGGAGGAGGAGGAGGAGGAGGAGGAGGAGAAGGAGGACGGCGAAGGAGGGCTGGGGAAGATAATGAAGATGGAAGAGGGAGGATGCTGGAGGGAGGGAGGGAGGGAGGGAGGAGGATGGGACGGGGATGGATGGAGGGATGAAGAGGGAGTGAGTGTGGGTGGGGTGGGAGGGGCATGTAGGAGGAGAAGGTTGAAGAGGAGGACAGATGGAGGACAGAGAACGGGGAGGAGTTAGGGAGAAGGGAGGAGGGAGGGAGGGAGGGATGAAGGAGAAGAAGGAGGAGGAACAGGAGGATATTTGAGTGCCCCAGGGAATTCTGGACGAGGTGGGCGACCACTTTCTCGCACATCAAGATGTGCAGGCGCACAAGCCATGCGCTGCTGACGTCTCTAGCCCCGGTCGCAGCAGGCTCCGAGGCCAGCGAGGAATCGTGCAAATCCTCTGCCCCGTTCTGGCTAGGGTCTGTGCTGTGATCGAGAAGCGCAGGTCGCGTGCCAAGGCGCACGTCCTAAGCGGCCCCAGTGCCACTTTTGGGGCACCTGCTCGCATTCAGTCGCAGGCGGCTCAGGACTCGTCAGTAATGCCGCCCTCACTCGGAGAGCCGCCACTGGAGCAGGCACCCGCGCAGAGCCGGCCTGTCGGTGCCATCATGAGCACGACATTGCCATCCTCGTCCAAGCTTAAGTCGTGCGTGTCCCTCTACAGGGGGAATGTTCACAAGTAGTCAACAAGTGGCCTGGGGAAGATGTTTGGGGGCATTTGTTTATCATCTGGGGGTATGTTTGTTTACTATTTCTAGACTTTCGCCCACAATCCGCCTGTAGGGGGACATGCCCGACCTAAGTCCAAGTCGGAAACACTGATCGACGCCCAACCGTCAACATCTTTCCCGGTCCATTCCACCAGTGTGTCTTCAGGCCATTCAGGCGGGTCAGCGAAGCCTTCTCTTCAACTGTTCCTCCAGTATTTCGTTCACTGGGCCGACTATGCTGACTCGCTGCGGCGATCTCTTCTCCTCGCTCTTCGCGACAATCCCGATCTGCGCGGCGTCAGTCATGGCGGAGGCCTTGTCATCGATGTTGTCTTGACGTGGGACGGGCTCTTCCCGAACCTCAACTTGTTCGTGACTGTGAAGGTACAGCCAAGACGTGGACGAGTTCATGAGGTTGTGGAACGGGATTTGGAAACCCTGAACAGGTTGAGCTTGTGCCCGAGCGGGTTCAGCTGTGACTTGAAAGGGTTCATGTAGCTCTAGAGCTAGTTGCCCAGGAAGTTGAAAGGGTTCAGCTGGAACCTGAACAGGTTCGTGATCGTGAATGCCATGTGGTTGCCTATTGCAGTTCGGCTTGCGTTGTTCTCAGTTTGCCTGGCGTCCTTTTGGTTCGCGATGTGGTCCTGTCACCCGTCGTGTTCTGAGTGGAAATAATTTTATTTTAAACTCGCGTGATCGTGAATGGTTTCAGTTGGAGCCTAGACAGGTCCATGTGCAATCTGAATAGGTTCAGCTTGATCTTGAGTGGGTTCAGCTTGATCGTGAACAGACCCTTTTCTTTGGGCGGGCTCAAGAGGTGCTTGAACTGATTCCGCTGGCATTTGGTCCCCCACTTACCCCTCCTCGTCTGCAGCAGTGCCGTCCTTGTCACCCCCTCCTGGGCACCAACCTCGCTGACCAGCGTCATTCCGGTCGACCTGCGCCTCGCCCATGCAGTACGACACCTCCGTTGGCACGACCCCGGGCGGTGGCAGCGTCGACGGCGGGGGGGGGGTCTTGGCCAACAGCTCATCAAGGACGTGCATGTCTGCAGAGTTGCGCTGTGCGCGCCGCTGAAGACTGGAGGCGGCGGCGGACGGGCTGCCTTCGCCAACGTGCGGAGGCCCCCGCGGCGTGCCATCACTCCGGGTCCGACGAGGCTCTGGGGCCTCCCGGGCTTGCAGAAGCGCGCGCGCGAGGAGCGGGTAGGAGGGACGGATCTTCATCGACGCCGCGGCGTCGTGGCGGTCAACTCGAGGGCGGCTCGCTCATCGTCCCGTGGCACTCCCATCATGTTTCAAGGCCATGGTGCACAAGGCGCTCCTCGGATGCATGCGCGGGGCAGAAGCTGCGCACAAGGGCTGGTTATATCCTGAGGTCGTGTGGCCACTGATGTCAATGCTTGACCGCGCGGCGGCTACTTAGGATGACGAGTGATTGGCATGCTTACATATGTATGTTTTTTTTTTGTCAGGGGCGTTGGGAGATATAGTTTGCCGCCAGAGACACGCAGAGCTAGTTTGTCGCCCTCGTTCTGTGTTCGCTTCGGCCTGTTCGAGCCTACAAGTTTCGTTGTCATTAACGAAGCACCGCTGGGTGGCTTTCGTGGAGAGGTCATCGCTGACGGCCTTTCAAAGCTGCCAGGTGCACTGGGCGCTTTTTGATGAGCGGCCACGTCTGAGTTGGTAAGCGCACTGCGCACACTGGTGCTGAACGGCCACCTGGCCACGCACCTCGATGCGCATGCTTCGCCTTCGAAGGCCGGGGGCAAGCTACCCGCGTTGCAGAAGGTGTTAGTTCTCCCGCCACTCGTCGAACCCGTTAATCCAGCCAAGATTTGTAGCACCCAGGTCTGGCCTCGGGCCTGTTCTTCAAGAGAGGACAAGCCACCTGGACCCGACGATTGGCGCTTTCTAAACGGCCCTGGGCGTTTACCAAACAGCCCTGCCCAGTTTGATTCCTTATTTGGGTGCGTTTGCTAAACGACTTCGCGTGTCGCTGTGATTATTATGAGGGTGGATTGCGAAGGCCTGACGGCCGGTGCCGCCGACCCTGAAGAAGACCACGACGTCGGCGACGAAGTGGGCGGGACGGAGGCCGCGGAGGAGGGGGGAGCGAGCTCCGCGGCGCCGGTCGCGCTGTACAAGGAGGCGCAGGAGCTCGGTGTCGTTTGATCCGGCCCCCATCCCCATCCTCCTCCTCCTCCTCCTCCTCCTCCTCCTTCCTCTCCTCCTCCTCCTCCCTCTCCTCCTCCTCCTCCTCCTCCTCCTCCTCTCCTCCTCCTCCTCCTCCTCCTCCTCCTCCCTCCTCCTCTCCTCCTCCTCCTCCTCCTCCTCCTTTTCCTCCTCCTCCTCCTCCTCCTCCTCCTCCTCCCTCCTCACCAGATTGCCACCCCAGCTGGGGATGCACCCCCCGGAGCCCGAGGGGGACCGCCCGTATCCCCATCTATATAAGGGGGGCACATCGGCCAGTGGGGCCCAGGCCATGCCGCTGGGGATGGGGGTCGGTTGAACGAGACTCAGGAGTGCGTGAAGGCCAAAGGGCCAGAGAGCCTCTCGGCTGCGGCCACCGCGCTCAACAAGTACCAGGCGACCACCTGCCTCGTCGTCCGTCCGTCGCCGCACTCCCGTCGTGCCTCTGCTCCTCCCGCCTGCCGAGTTCGAGCTCCTGCGGCGGCTCCTCAAACTGCTGCCGCACGCCGCCCGGATGCGTTGGCAATGCCTCGTAATGTTCACGATGTCCCGCGCCATTTTGGACACACTGCAGCTTGCGGCGGCCGCGTCCCTGGACAAAATGCAACTGCTTTGGTGCTTATGCTCCAGACGAGGGTCTGTCCAACGGTGCAGGGCAGCCATTCCATTGCCCTTGTCCTCATCGTCGCCTTCCTTGGGAAAGCTGTGATTTCATGTGCTGGTCCTGAAGGGTATGGAGCGAACATCTGTTTCGGACATCCGACGCATTTCGCAGAATGCCAATTGCCTTTCGCATGAACCCAGCGGGAAATCCAGCACGGCTCAATGGGCCCTGTTCAAATTCTGGGATGACGCAGGAAAATTGTTGGGTCCGTAGGGGATCTTCAGGATATTTTCTTGGACTTCTTGAAACCTGGAGATTTCTGGTGGAATCATCTTTACGTGCTGGGGGCTCTTCTTCGTTACCCAACGATCCTGTAGGGTTCAACTGCAATCCCTCACGAGCTCCCGAAGTCATCGAGATTACATAGCAGACCTTCCAGATTGAGCAACCCGCTGGAATGAATGTGTGTTGGCCTCTCGAGGGCCTCCTGGGGAGAGTCGTGGGGGGTTCTTGGGGCCTGCTGGGCGGCCCCCTCGGAGCTTCGGCACCTCCCCCAGGGGGCTCGTGTGCGCGTGTTGAGGCAATGTTGGGTTTATGATGTTCCAACGTAATTACTTCAGCCCTGAGCACCAGAACGAATCTCGAGCACCAAGAAAGTAACGAAACTTGAGGATTTTCGCGTGTCGGTCCCTGGGACGCGACACTCGTTCGACACTGTTTGGACACTTTTCTGGGTGCTCGATATTATTTCAGGGATGTGGCCCTCAAGTACGATGGGAGCAACATAATCTTGGGCCATCTTCACGGCGTTAGTTTTAAGTCGGGCACGTGCCCTTGCAGGAGGAATATTCAAAGAAGTAGTCTGGAGACGGTTTTCGATTGTTCGACAATTTTTGAATATGTTTGGAGTCGCTTGTATTGTTCCTCCCAAATCCGTCTGTAGGAGGACATGCCCGACCGAACGTCAGTTGCCTTCGGGGCCCATTTTGGAAGCCGTCAGAAAGCCTCAGGAGGGGGGGGTGCGCGTGAGTAAGCGTGGTGCGTAGGGGGAGTGGCGGCCCTCGAGAAGACTTACAGAGCAGTTCCTGCCAGACAGCGCTATGTCTCAACGTACTGGGGAGCACTGTGGCGGATCCCAATTTCACTTGGGTTCGTTGTGGTTCCTGTGGCATCCTGTGGTTTTCTACTCTTCGTCGATTTGGGGTCTGCGCGGTGGCATCATCAGGATGCCATTACGTGGAGCCCAAAGTCGCATCCGTTTTTATTTAATTCTTGGTCGTTCGTGCAGCTTTGGGGCCAGACTTCGGTCATATTTTGGGCCCCGGCCGGGCTGGAAACCCCGGTGTACTTGGCTGTCGCCGCTCTGATTGCCGCCAGCGTCGAGCATTCGTGCCCGTGCGCAGACGTCGCCCACGTCTTTCCTATGGCGTCTTGTGGCTCCCTCCCTTCACCGGTCTGGGACCCGCGCCGTGGCATTCTTGACTCGATCGTTGCTGAATCGTGCTAGTCCGCACGGGATGTATTGTCGGCATTGCACGTGCATGATTGTTGCGTTTGTTTGTCCTCTCGTCGAGGATTAGGTTCCTCGCGTTGTCGTCATAACCTGCTGTGGTGTGTGTGTGTGTATGTGTGCGTGTTAGTGTGTGTGTGTGTGTGTGGGCGTCCGTTTTGCTTTCTCGTGTTATCTTTTCTTCCCTTTCCCTCCTCAGCTCAGCTGTCGTTTAATCCAGATCTTCCGCAGAAGTCGTTGCAGATTGGCCTCCTTCTGTTATGGCTCCTCTACCTTCCCAAGAGGAGGCCCACGTTGCTGCCTTGACGCCCCCGGAGGCACAGTGAAGCACAGCGGCGCCCAGGGAGACCAGTGTGGCACGCTGCCCCCCGGGGACGCCCAGCGAGGGCCAGGGGGGGCACGGGAAGGCCGCGGGAGGACTGGGGGGCCACAGGCAGCCATCGTCAAGTACACCGAGGGCATCCAGCTGAACCCCGAGGACCACAGGATCCGTAGCAACAGGGCGCTCTGCTACGCAGCCGTGAAGGACTGGGCCAAGTGCAGGGAGGACGCCGTTCTGGCCACACGCCCAGAGAGCACTCCTGAAGCCGTCGGCCAGGGTCCGGTCAGGTTGCGCTTCCCGCAGATCAGTTCGAACGATCGGGGTCGCGGCGGTCGATCGGGCTCTGGATCGAGACGGATCGGGCACAGGAGAGGACCCTGCGTATTGAGCCCCCCTGGACGGATTCTGGGGGAAGCAGTTGTAAGAAGCCAAGTGGGTCTTGGCGCTTTTATGAGACTCCTATCGTCAGGCGAGCCCAGATTGGGCCAGCGTTGTCTTGCGCAAGTGGGCCTCGCAAGAGAACGCACATAGAAAGTCAGGAGCACGAATGTGAATTGTGCAGTTCTACTCTACATTATGTTTGCCAGCGTGGACCCCAATCAGTAAGTTATTGGATTGCTCATTTGCGAGCTATGGGTTGCAAGCTATTTGGTGCAAGCGATGTGCTGCAACCAACGAATGTTCACTCATGAGCTGTCAGCTCCTCTGGTCGCGCAATCCGCCCACCCCACCACCCGCAACTCGTTTTATATAACCCACTGCGGTGACTACTTGGCACTGCGGCGCTGGCGCGCGAGCACTTCAATGCGAGTCGATGACTCGGGCGATGACTCGGGCGGGTGCGGTATGGTGACGACGTCGGCAACGGCGGCAACGGTGATGATAGCAGTGATGGTGACGATGACGACGACAGGGCCAAAGACGGTGCCGATGTTGATGACGACGACGATGATGATGATGTCCATGTGTCGGTGACGAAGGTGGTTGGCTGATGTCGGCGAGAAAGGTGGCAGGCAAGCGGCGATGACGATAGCGGCGGTGTTGTTGTTGCGGCGCCGCTCATGAGGGTGATGGTGAGGAAGTGCGCGCACGCGCGGAACTGCAAGAAGCCTGGCGGATCTGCTGTAGAACGGCAGTGGAAATTGTGCAGGCGGCGGTTTGGGCCCCCCAAGACAGCGGAGCACAGGCGTAGCAGGGGGGTCCCCTTCCCCCCATCCCTTTCCATGGCAGAGTTGTCCCCTCGTTGATTTCGGGCCCTGGTTCTGTCCTCGGTCGGTCCCTCCGTTCTTCCGAGGTCGGTCTCTCGGTGGCCCTCGCCCTCGTCTTGTCGGGCCCCCGCTCGGTCCCCGCACGTGGCCACGGGCGCTCTGGGAGCCAGCGCTGGACTGCAGCCCGCGCCCACAACAGAAAGCCACCCCGGCAACCACCCCCAGCAGAGCTGAAGCTCATGCTCTAGGCTGCAGCTTCGGCTTTTTGACTCTCACACGCCGGATCAGCGGACATACAACGATGTATGTATGGATGTATGTGCGTATATATACCTATTAGGTATGTATGTCTGCCAGCGGGGACCTCCAAACAGTAAATCGTTGCACTGTGGATGTGCATGGTATGTGGTGCGAACTGCGTGGTGGAGGCTGCGGCCCTGGGCGGCAGCGTTGCGAAACCTCGCCCAGGCGGCTACGGGTTGCAAAGAGGCGAAACCTCGGCGGACGCAGCCAGCGGACGTGGCGGTCACGAGACGGCCACGGGCGGCAACGTGGCGGAACCCCGCCAAACCCACTGAGTGCACGAAGCGGTAACGAGGCGGCCATGGGTTTCAACGTGGCGACTCCTCGCCGGACGCACCCACCGCACGAGTCGGCCACAATGCGGCCATGGGCGGCAACGCGGAAGATCTTCGCCGGACTCGTCCAGTTCCTCAGCGACGCAGGCAGGAACCCCTCAGTGCAGGCTTGTGAATTTTGAGGAACACTGAGTGCGACTGCCAACCTTGATTAGTCATGGGTCATGGTCCAAGACCGCTCGGTAGGCCCAGCTGCTTCGGGAAATTGTCAGTAATGACCAAAGGCATGACATCATGTTGAGATTTATGCTGGTCATGGGAACGCAAGCCACGTGAGCTGGATTGAGCTTGATTCTTTGTTGGTGTCTGTTCTAAGGCAGTGGGAACCATGACGCTCTAAATCATAATACTGTCCTTCCCCTTCCATCCTGCTCCGTCCTCTCCTCCCGTCTCCTCCCGCCCTGTCTCCATCCCTTCTTGTCCCTTCTCTTCACTCCCTTTTCACTGTTGTGTTTGACTGATCCTCACGCACTCGAGTCAAAAAGAATAGCATCAACATAAGCCGTTGGAGCTCCACGCGGCGTCTCCGGCGCCGCCTCGGGCGTGCTCCCCGCGCCAGGGAGGCGGGCCCAGCGCCGATCCACGAAATCCGCGCGGACCTTAAAAGCTTATGGTTACGCAGTTAGCTGCTCCTCCAGAGGGGCCGATTCCTGCGACTCCGAGCTCACACTCCATGCATAGAGCCGCCGCCCCCTCTTCGTGACAGACTCTCCGCCTTCCGATGTGTTTCCGGAGCGGCTCCTGGCAAGGCGTGCTCCCTGCAGGGCGCATCCCAGTCGTTGCCGGCCCCAAGCAGTGGTCTTCGCACATGTTCCAATTGCGGCTTCATTCCGTAAGCAGCTTGTCCACGGAGATCTTCGATCATTCTTCAAGGACTTTCGAGTTCCTCCGGACCCGGAATCACTGGCCCGTGCTCGTCCGTATCTTCTCTCGTATGGTCTCCCGCATTGTCCCCTGTATGGCCTCCCGTTGGGTCTCCCGCGTGTCCGCCCGTCTATTACCCTGCATGCTCTTCCGTCTTGTGGTTGTTTACCGTGCAGTGCAATGCTCTCTGTACTGGTTGATCATGATGTTGAGGGTCTTCTGGAGCCGGGATGGCATGTACCAGCAGGCGCTCTACTGGGGACGAACTTTATTTCGAGATGAGCGTGAGTAGTGCGCGTGGCCCCACGGGGGCAGGATCGCAATCAGACGTTGGATCAGTGTGGGATCGGGGAGGGCGTTTTCGAAGGATGCGAGGAGCGCGTGCGCGCGCGCGGAGCAGCGTGTGCTAGATCTGCCGTGCGCGGGCCCGCGTCGTCGAGGGCAATTTCGAAGCCTGCATCCTGGGCCTCCGAGTCGTAGGAGAATATTATTGTTACCCTCTGGGCCATATCGCGCGTTATGCCCCTCACCTTCTCCCCCCCCAGTATGTAACGCTCCCCCCGTCAGTGCGTCCTCGGCACTGCCGCAGTGCGTCTGGCACCGCAATCTGGGTGGGGGGCGCCACGTTATGCCCCCTCCCGTCCCCCAAATGTGTTTCAGTCCCAATGTTGGCCCCTCCTCCTGGGCAAAGGGGGGCGGCTCCAAGGTCACACAGATGAAGCCGGGCTTCATGAAGGGCTGGTTTTTGCTGGCCAAGGCCGGCAGCCAGGGAGACCCCTTCCCCGGCGTCGGCAGGCAAGGCAGGTAGGCTCAGCGGGCGGGCGGATCTGGAATCTTCCTCCTCCTCTTTTTCCTCCTCCTCATCCTCCTCCTTTTCTTCCACTTCCTCCTCCTCCTCCTCCTCCTCCTCCCCCTCCTCCTCCTCCTCCTCCTCCTCCTCCTCCTCCTCCTCCTCCTCCTTCCGTTGCCATTCTGGCTCAAGTTCTCTTGAGTGGGCAGCCCAGTTCGTGGGCCTTCCCTGATTGTCGTGATCAGGCGGACGCCTTTTCATTTTTCACCCTCGGCCCAAGAGCCACCACTTCCTGTCTCCGCCATATCCGCAGATATGGCGTCCATGCTCGGGCAAATGCAGCAGTCGCTCGAAGCCTCCCTGACGGCAAAGATAACAGCCTGACCGACCATATCACCGCCAGCATAGCAGCCTCGGTCGGGTCAGTTTAGAACACGATGAACTCCAAGTTCGCCGAGCAGGAGGCCAACCTCCACGCGCAGAGCCAGCACATCGCCGCCATTCACCAGAAGCTCAAGTCCCACCAGGACGCCATTGACGGGTTGCGGAGCGGTACATCGACGGCTCCTTCTACAGGTTCCAGCTCACATCGAGGATCAGCGTGGGCGGACCGCCTGGATGATTCCCGTGGCAAGGCGAGGAGGATCGGCTCCGACGCCAGTTCCAGCCCAGGCAGCTCCAAGGTCCTCCCATCGTACCAGCACGACACAGCGAGACGGCGGATCGGTACTTACCCGCGGCCGCTTCCTGCAAGCACGAGGTTCGCCCATTTTCAGACTTGGGAAGACCAGGTGATCAACTCAGTCATGCTCAACAATGTCACGCCTCAGTTTCATCGAATCAGTCAGAGCTTCAGTCTGACATTCTCCAGCGAGGTGCTTGCGAAGGAGTTCACGGATGCCTTCAACGCCGCCAATGTCTTGTGGATGGACCTTGCGCGGATGGAGTCCCACCAGCATCAAGGCCAGGACCGACCTCCCGAAGGACATGAGGGCCAAGCAGTGAGCGATGAGTAAGGTCAGGGATCTCATCATTGCCCTGTTCCAGAGCAGCCCGCGCTACACCACCGAGTCCAAGCCCCTCAGCAATGGCTTCAAGGGCGCAATCCATTGGTTGACAGGTGAAGGCGCATGGCCGCTAGTGACTTGCAACGAGATAAATCGCGCTGCGGGGACTCTCGACATCAATGAGGACACCTGCCGCCACTTCGGCATCGACGTGGAAAGGGCGCAGATCATCATGGAGGATGTCGAGATGCGCGCCCTCTACATTTAGGAAACACCCACGCCGCGCTCATCGCAAGAAGATGACGATGAAGATTTGCATTGGCCAGGCGAAGAAGAGGCAACCAGCTTCCCCCCGTCGGGGACAGACTCCGCACCTCCTCTCTGCCATCCTCCGCGCAGCGCAGCACCGCGGCACCGGCGCCCTTGTCTTCGCGAAGTTCCTTTTATATTGGGGGTGCAGTGGGACGCGCTGTTCTAGATGTCCCTAGACAGGCCAGTCGCCCGCATGTCATATCACAAGCGCTCCCCGTCTGCACCTGGCACACCCAGGCTCTTTTTCACTCGCCGTCCTCCTCCCCGTCTCAGCCCCGTAAGAAATCTAAGTCGTGGACTGGGCTTGCGCGGAAGGTAGACGCAATGCGTGCACAGGAGACTTTTGGTCAAGAAGGGGACTTGGAGACTGTTGTTCGGGGTTGTCAAGACTTCGAGGCTTTCGGTGATCGCATGGGGGAATGCTGGAAGGGGTCGCCATCCTGGCGAGAAAAAAATCGGATCCGCAACCTCGAGCGCGTTATCCCCAATGCAATTGTCCTAGGGGGCACCTTTGCTCGCCCCCTCCTTGGCCCTCGAGGTGCGACGCAGATCGCGGGAGTCCACTTAGATCCGAGCTGGTCCGAGCGGGACACCAGGTCTAAGTTGCACGGGCTCTCGCGCTCTCTGCTGCCACAGGCCCAGGCGCTGGGCATCATCGTGGGCGATTTCAACTTTTACGAGTACGGAGAATCCCGTTTCTATCTTCAACCTCCCGCCCCTCGGCCTGCGCCTTCCCGAATTGCCGCAGCATTCGATTATCTATTTATTTGCCATGCCGAAGTCGAACAGATAGCCTACACGCATCGAGCCAAAATGTGTAATACTGACACCCACGCTAGACATGATCGCATATGCACTACCATCGTTGTTCCCACCTTCCTCAACTACAGGCCGCAGTCAGGAGCATGCCGGGGGGTTACTGCGCGGCATGCGCCCTCCGACCGGGTGCCAGTTGTTCTGCCCATGATTGCCCCGCGGGCATCGCTTGGGGCCGGGCAAAATATCCCCGCCCGGGTAGCCGAGCACCCGCAGTTTAGCAGCTTCGTGGAAGATCTGATTGAAGCCGTTGGTCTTTCCCCCGGGCCTCCAGATCAGGCATCAGAAGTTAGATAGATATTCCACCTTGCTGCTGGGCACGTTCGCCGATGCGTCGAGATCGCAGGCGCTGCCGCCCCGGCCGGGAAGGCCGCCTGCGCGTTGGAGCTGACCAGAGCTGACCGCGCCCGCAGCCAGAGGCATGCTCTGATAGCTTACCAAGGGCATGGGAACATTTACGGTTTATCCCTGAGACAATGGGCCGGTTGGACCACGAGGTTTCATGATCATTTGTGGGATATAATGAGGGAGCAGTTTCAGGAGGAGGAGAAATTTCGAATTCCGGGTCCATTTCATATAATGAGGGAGCAGTTTCAGGAGAAGGAGAAATTTCGAATTCCGGGTCCATTTCTGCGCTCGCCAAGGAGATGGGTATCATTAGACTTCGCCGTCTTGTTGCAGCCTGGGCCTCTCGGAGGCCGAGAATGAAGCTCGCTGCAGTCAAAAGGCCCGACGGCCAGGTGTATACCGACGCCAATGAAGCGGCTGCCCTTCTTGCCGAGCACTAGGGGGAGGTATGCGGCGATTCCGAACTGGTTCACCCCCTTCAACATCATCCGCTTTATGCTTTTATTCAGGAGGTCGACGGGGAGGGGGGGGGCATCGAAGGTTTGATTGGATCATATCCGAGGAACAGTTTTATCGCTAGCTGTCCGCCTGCTTCACTTCTTCTACTTCTGCCGCAGGGGCTTCCGGCATTTTGGCGGGACATGTCATTGTATGTTATACTTGCGCAGTGGAGTTCGCTGGGGGTGTTCAGTGTCGGGTTTGGCTTGGGCGTTGATCTTTGATCCTGTGGTTCGCCTGCTTTCCGAGGCTGTGGAAGTGCGCCCCAGTGGGGGCGCCCCATGGTATGTAGGCGCATGCGCAGACGACGTTGGACTGCTTGTTCCCCAGATTCGCACGCAATCTCGCGTCATGCCACATTTCGCTGCAGTCAAAGAGCACGCTCTTTTCCAGCTGTAAGCTAACAGATGCTGTATTGTTCCCTTCTGGGATGCGTGCAGCCTGCTCTTCGTGTTAACGTCAAACAATGTTTGCAGGTGCCTCTGGATGCAGCTCGTTTGACGCGCGAGGCCCCACACCTCATCTTGGCATCCAGTTCGCTCCCGCGGCAGAGTTGGAATGCCAATGGGCCTCGGCAGGGCGCAGGTGGGGGCGGCGAGCTATCCTGCCCCCCTCCTCGCGCGCCCCCCCGCGCCTTCTCGCCTTCTAGCGCAACGCGTATGCAAGCAGCGCCTTGAGCTACCTGCCCCAGTTCCCCCACCCGCTCTGAATCCCGCGATCAACATGAAAAACTGAACGCGCGCCCCAAGAAGCTGCAGAGTGCGAGCAGCTGTTTGGTCATGGCTCGCGTGGCAGACCGATCTGAGACCTCTCGGGCATGTGAACGAGACCTTCCGATGCTGTCGAGACGCGAGGCTCGCGCTCTCCACAGGCCTTCGCCTCCCCCCGACTGGCTCCATCAGCCTGCCGGAGCTCCTCTCTCTCGGCCTCCGGCCCTCTGCCTCGCTCCCTCTCTCGTCCTGGCCCTCGCCGCCGGGTCCCGCCCGGCGCACGTGCTCCTCTCGCTGCTCCGGACTGGCAGCCCGCGCTCCTCGGTCTCCCAGTCGGCCGCAGGCGAGGCCCGTGGAAGCACCTCTCCCACTGCCGACTGGCTTGGCGTCGCTCGGACGTGTGCATTCTTTTTCGGCGTGGACCATTGAGGAGCATTTTTGATCATTTGGCGACAAATGCACGCGCGAAATCGAGAAATGCACGGGGAATGGACGTCCGAGCGATGGCGAGCTGGGCAGCAGACATTTGGTCTCCCGAGTTCTGGCGCACCGGCAGGGCCGTCGTTCCGTGCTGCCGCGCGCGGTCCAGGTCCGCACCCCCCCCCCCCGCCGCCCCTCTCTGTCCGAGGCTGGGGCAAGGCTGAGCGCGCGGGAAGGATCGAGGAGCGCGAGGCCCGAGGTGCAGGTCGACAAGCCAAGGTTCAGCGCGTTGTCGGCCGGCGTCTTCGAGAGCTGTTGTATCCAGATCGCCAGCATGTTTGTTGGCCGCAGGCTCAGGAAGTGGCACTTCCGTTGCCCGCCCGACCTCTCGGAGAGACGGGAAACAGCTCAAGGCCACCCCCTGCCCGTGCGCCCCAGCTGGCGCTGGGCTGTTCTGAAGGAGATGCCTGGAGGGCGGACCACCAGTGGGCGCATGCACGTGTCGCTGCGCCAGCGTAAGTGTATGTTTGGCTGCCTTCAGTGCCAGGACCAGATCTTCCATGCTGTTACGTGTCCTCGGCTCCGCCACCACGTCGCCCTCGGCTGGCGGCGGCTCGTCTGTCCCTCGGATCCTGCTTGCTGGCTCGGCCATGGGAGCGCGGGAGAGCATGGCGCGCCTGACTGCGAGAGATCTCGGCAGCAGGCTGTCGAGGCGACGGTGTTTTCCTTCCACATCTCTCACGATCTAAAAATGCTGCACCTCCAGGCAACTACCACGCATTACGAATCGGCCACGCGGGTCACAGGCGCCGCTCGGCCTGCGTTCCGCGCGCAGGTGGCACGAGAGCTCGCCTTCAGGGTACGGCTGCTCCTCCTTCTCTTCCTCTTCCTCCTCCTCCTCCTCCTCTTCCTTTTCCTCCTCCTCCTCCTCCTCCTCCTTTTCCTCCTCCTCCTCCTCCTCCTCCTCCTCCTCCGCGTGCCAGGGGACGGGGAAGGGGAAGCACACGAGGGGAGAGCCACGGGAGAGGGAGGTGATCTGCAAGCTTCCCCGTAGAGGCCCGGCGGCCCCTCGGTGCGGAGTCGTCGGCCCCCTGGGGGGCGCCTCTTCGGCTGCGTGCCGCGTGGGAAGAGGCGGTGCGACCCCGCCCGAGAGCGAAGGTCTCCGCACAAGGTGGGCGGCCAGGAGTGCATAGCCCCTCAGAGTTCCCGCAGGGCGATGCCTCGGTGCTTCGCTCGCGAGCACTCCAGCAGGCGCCCGAAAACTCCAGGAGCCCGATCCCGATCTCGATGCTCCTCCTCCTCCTCCTCCTCCTCCTTCTCCTCCTCCTCCTCCTCCTCCTCCTGCTCCTCCGACTCATCCCCGCTCCTCCTCCTCCTCCTCCTCCTTGTCCTCCTCGTCCTCCTCCTCCTCCTCCTCCTCCTCCTCCTCCTCCTCCTCCGCCTCCTCTTCCTCCCCCTCCTGGTGGTTTGGCCAGGCTGGGGAATTGCAGTCAGGAGCAGACGACGGCGGTGATGGACGATGCGGCTGATGGCGTTGATCCGGGCACTCTCGGCGTCGTGGCGCGCGGCGCTCGGCGGAGCCGGGCGTCCGCGAGGCGCGCGTCGGCGAGGCGCGGAGGGGGCCTCGAACTGCCGGTGGCGTGCCTTCGCAGAGCACGCAGCCCGCCGGGAGGCCAAGGGCGCGCGGCAGGCCGTCTGGCGGCTGCGTGCGGTGCCAGGTGGTCTTGTTAACTCGTGGGTTTTCTCCCCCAATCAGCGCTTGCACTGAAGGGGGTCCTGGCGGAGGTTGAGAGATTTGGCGACAGCTTCCCGCCGATTTTGGTGGCAGGCTGGGTTCCCGGGTTCCCGGTTTCGGGTTCCGCGGTTCCCGGGTTCTCTTGGTTCCGGGTTGATTTCGGTGGGTTTTGGGCTCCTGGGCTCCCGGGTTCCCGGTCGATCTCCCCAGCGAAAACCACCCACTGATTGGGGTTTTGTTTCTCTCTGGCGTAATGGATTTGAGATTCAAGACGTTTCAAAAAGGGCCTCGCTCTCGAGGGTCGAAGGAGTTGCCGCCCTCCTCCTCCTCCCCCTCCTCCCCCTCCTCCCCCTCCTCCCCCTCCGTCTCCTCCTCCTCCTCCTCCTCCTCCTCCTCCTCCTCCTCCTCCTCCTCCTCCTCCTCCTCCTCCTCCTCCTCCCCCTCCTCCTCCTCCTCCTCCTCCTCCTCTTCCTCCTCCTCCTCCTCCTCCTCCGCCTCCTCCTCCTCCTCGGCGGAGCGCGGCGGGAGGTCGGCGGAGGGCGGCGGGAGGAAGGGAGGCGGCGGTGGCTCGGCGGGCGGAGGTCGGCGGAGGGCCCGCGGGAGCCGGCGGGAGCAGAACGAATTCCCCTCCGGGAGAGGAGAGCATCTTTGTGTCGGGGTTTCCGTAGCCTGTTGGCTGGAAGGTGACGCACCCGCCTCTTGTGGGTGCTTTGCCCCGGTGCCCCCACCGGGGCCCCAGAGACGCCGCAGAACGACACGCCCATGGACTGTCGCCGGGTGCTCGCGCCCCCCCGCCAGGCCCTGGTGCGCCCCTCCAAGAGATGAGACATCTTTAGTTTCAGGGTTTCTGTAACCAGTCATTTGGGGAGCTGTCGATTTGGACAGCTGTGAGTTCGGTGAGCTGTTGAGCAGCAGCCCGCTTGTTGATCAACGGCTCCCGAAGACGTTGGAGCAGGTTCTGTCGTGTGGACCAACAGCTCATCTGTTGATCAATTATTCATTAGTTTATTAGTGCTGCTTCCTGTTGATCAACAGCTCATCTGTTGGTCGACAGCGGGAGATGTTCCTTGGTAGGTCTCAGCTCGAGGGCGTCCATGGTGAAACAGGTTTTCCCGGTTCGGCTTGTAAGTTGAGATTGAAAACCTCAGCATGGGCTTGGATTAACGGACCGGTTTATCCACGGACCCCCCCTGTGTGCCTCAGGTAGAGAGCATGCTGGTATTGAGGTCTTCGGGTGCTGCGAATAGAGTTCCCGAGAAGCGTTCCTGCGGGAGATTGTCGTCATCGAATTCTGCGACGCCAGCGGCCATCTGCGCTCTCATTTGAGAGAGTTGTAGCCAAGCCATTGCTTTGCAGCTCCAGCTGGAGGTGCAGTTTCTGCATCAGTAGGTGGTTGATCGTCGTGCTGGCCAGGCTCGGCTCGACACGAAGCTTTGGGCTCTGGATGGGCGCTGTTCCGCACGATCGGCAATATGTCGACAATGCTGGACCAGCCTTGCGTATGGAGCGCTCGTTCTGCCTCCTTGCGATTGGCTGCAATACCATCTCGTCTGCATCGTCATCATCAGTATCCTCAGCAATTTCATCATCGCATGGCGACTTTTATCACTCTTCAGAAGAATTGTGCAAGGTGTGGTTGTCGCGAGGAACCATAGCAAGGTTTTAGGCGGAGTGTTTCCAGCTGCCCTCGAGGCGCTGTGGAAGGAGGGCTCGCCTGTGCTGGCGCAGAGGGAGCTGGACAGGGCCCTCAGCATGATGCCCGATAACGCCGACCTGCTCGCACTGCAGGAGGACACTGCTCCCTCCCGCATCCCCTTCCCTCCATGTCCCCCCCTCCCACATCCCCTCGGTTTCCCCTTCGCTCGAGGCCCGCGCGGACCCTTTGGGTCGGCGCTGGCCCGCCCTGGCGGCGCCTGGCGCGCTCCGCGCGCCGCTTGGCATCGCTCGGACGGGTGCCTTGTTTTGAGTCGGGCCTGCCCCTCTCCAGGGGGACTGTTCAAAAATAGTCAAGACATAGTCGGGGGAAGATCTGGTTGGACCGTTTTGGGGCATTTATGTTGAGTATCTGTGAGGGTATGTTGAACGTTTCCTCCAAAATCCGCTTGTATGGGGACACGCCCGACCCAAGCATCGTTTCGCGGAGAGGACCATCGAGGAGCACCCCAGATCACCAGGCAGCAAGACTCGCGCACGAGACCGACGCAGCATGCACGGGGCATGGGCGCCCGAGCGATGGCAGAGGCCAGCGCCAGGGCGGCATGGCGTGCCGCGCCACAACCGAGCAATCCGCGCGGTCCTCCGAGAGACTGTGTTCATGCGAGTCCCTCCCCATCCTTCTCCTCCTCCTCCTCCTCCTTCTCCCCTCCTCCCCCTCCTCCTCCTCCTCCTACCCCTCCTCCTCCTACCCCTCCTCCTCCTCCTCCTCCTCCTCCTCCCCCTCCTCCTCCTCCTCCTCCTCCTCCTCCTCTCCCTCCGCCTCCTCCTCCGCCTCCGCCTCCTCCTCCTCCTCCTCCTCCTCCTCCTCCTCAGGGATCGCCTACAGAATTAGTTTACCTCAGAGTTGATTCCTAATCGAGTCTACGACGAAAACCTAGAATGCTCGCACATCTACTGGAACTTCTGCATACCTCCCTTGGGCTCAACGAGAAAACCGATTCTGGGGCAAATCAATGTGTAGTCGATCCCCTACTCGACTCATGCAGCTTCTGGCTCCTCTGCCTGCGCCCGTCCCGCTCCCGCTCACCCCGCCGGAGTGCCCCGCCCGGTCCGCGGCGCCCCCGCGAGGGGCGGGTGCGGCCCCAGGGGAGCGCACGGTTGGCTCAAGCCAGGCCCCTGGCGCCCTGCTTTGAAGTTTAGGTCGGGCGCGTCCCAAAATTCAAAATATAAGAAAAAATCTGAATACCCAACATATTCAAAATATTTAAGATACAAATTTCCAAATATTCAAAATATTCGAAATAACCAACATATTTTAAATATTCACAAATACCCAAAAAACAAATACCAAACAGGCGGATTTTGGACGAACTAAATTTTAAGACCCAAGATATATTCAAATACAGTCCAAAAACGCGTTCTTCGGGGCCGAGAGTGGCTGTATTCTTGGCCTGCTCCAGGACGACCACACTCTGGCCCAGCCGCGCGCCGCCGGGCTGCTAGGACCACGCGCAGCGCCCAGCGGGCCGACAGCCAGCGCCCCCGCACATGGCCACGGAAGCGACCCCGACTGGATGGAAGAGGCAAGGCAGGCCGCAGCCATCGCCAGGCGCGAAATCTACAGGCGCATGGACAGCATGCGGGACCCAGACTGGCCGGGCGACTGTACTGACCGAGCCCGGCTCGACCTGGATGACAGGTTGTACCGCCTGCCACGGTCCCGCCTTGTGTTTAACCGCATGCGCGCCCGAGGCGGCCTAGAGAGCTGGGGGTCCGTCGTCAAGCGTTTCCAGATCGAGGCTGGCTAGCACTTCGGCGAAGGCTGGGAGCGCGCAGTCGACAAGAGTGACAACAAGGGCGTTGGCAAAGGGCGATGCGACCCGCTTGCCAGCGAGGACTTTTGCCGATGGTTCATGGCTGATCTGTGGCATTGGAACTCCAGCATCAAGGAATACTGTTGGTGGGAAGGAAGGTATCCACGTGGACTGGGATCAGGTCTGGCGCAACCAGCAGGCCGGGAACGTGCACGGGCAAGAGACGCGGGAGCGCCAGGCCGCCGAGCAAGGCAAAGCGCGCGATAGAGGCGGCAAGCTTGGCATGCGCCGCTTTGACATGGCCTGAGACGACGCCCCCGGCGGCCGCCCTCGGGGCTAAACACCTGCTGCAGCCACCACCACCTGGCTGCACTCGGCACCTCTACGGAGCGTGCTGCCCGCGGGCACAGCGCCACTCCACACATGGCCCCCCTCCCTCCTCTCCTCTCCTCCTTGCGACGTACCTCCCGTTTGGGACGCGCGTCGCGCGCGCACCGTCCCCTTCACCACGTCGGTGCTTCCCTGCCGCACGCGCTGGACCGCCCAGTGGGTCGCCAAGCGTCGTTACCCGGCTCCTGCACTTCCCAGTGGTCCCCTCAGACGCCCCCTCGCGACGTAACTTCCGCGTGGGACGCGCGTCGCTCACTCCACATTCCCTGCGCTATTTCGGCGCTTCTCTGCTGCGCCCCGCTGTGCCGCCCACTGGGCCGCCCAGCGTCGTTGCCCGGCTTCCGCAACCTTCGGTGCTCCCCGCCGCCGCCCTCCGCGACGCACCTCCCGCGTGGGACGTTCGTCGGGCACGCGCTGTCCCCTGCGCCACTTCGGTATTGCCCTGCTGCACGCGCTGGGCGGCCTATTGGGTCGCCCAGCGTCGTTACCCGGCTTCTGCACCTCCCGGCGCTCCCCGCCGCCGCCCCCTCGCGACGTGCTTCCCGCGTGGGACGCGCGTCGCTCACTCCCTATTCCCTGCGCCAGGTAATTCGGCGCTTCTCTGCTGCACCCCGCTGCGCCGCCCTCCGCGACGTACCTCCCGCGTGGGACGCGCGTCGCTCGCTCGCTGTCCTCCGCGCCACTTCGGTGCTTCTCCGACGCTCCACGCTGGAACGCCCATTGGGTCGCCCAGCGTCGTTACCCGGCTTCTGCACCTCTCGGCGCTCCCCGCCGTCGCCCCCTCGCGACGCATTTTTCGCGCGGGACCCGCGTCGCTCACTTCCTGCCTCCTGCGCGATTTCGGCGCTCCTCTGCTACACCACGCTGTACCGCCCTCTGGGCCGCCCGGCATCGTTACCCGGCTTCTGCACCTTCGGTGCTCCCCGCCGCCGCCCTTCGCGACGTACCTCCCGTGCGGGGCGCGCGTCGCCCACTCACTGTCCCCTGCACCACTTCGCTGCTTCTCCATCGCACCACGCTGTGCCGCCCAGTGGGTCGCCCTGCGTTGCCACCTGGCTTCCGCACCCTTTGGTGCTCTCCTCCTTCCGCGGCGGCCCCGCGCCGCCCCCTCCCGTTGCGATGCCGTTCCGCCCCGCAGCCTGCGGGCGCCCAGGACGCTTTGCCGGCGGCCACCTGCCCCTCCCACCTCTGCCCCGTGGCCCCCTGGCGCGGCCTTGGGCGGTCGCCGCCACCCCCCTCTCTCTGCCAGCCATCTGGCTGCGGTGCCATTTCCGGCCGCCGCGCGTTTCCTCCCCCGCGTTGTTGTTCCGCCCCGCCGCCTGCGGGCGCCTGGGACGCTTCGCCCGCTGCCTCCCGCCCCACCTCTCCCCGCTCCCTGGCTACCTGGCCTCGGGCGGTCACGCCGCAGTATCCCTGTCACTGCCAGCCATCTGGCCGCTGCTCCCGCCCCCGCACGGCTCAGTGCTGTGCCTTCTCCTCGGTGCGTCGCGGTTCGTCGTTCGCGGTGTTCCACCGTGCTCTCCGCCAGCCCCAGCCGCTGGCTGCCGCTCCCCGCCACCCTTGCCACCGTGGTTTGCCACGGCCGCCCACCGCGCTCTGGCCCTGCGCGCCTGGCTGCTGCTGCCCCCCCGGCTGGTCATCGTCGAACTCTTCGGCGTCTGAGCGTCTCTTTTTCTGCTCGGCCGTCCCTCTTTGCTCGCCGGCCAATTCGCTAGTTAGTGTCCCTATCGAGCTGCTCGCTGGAGCGGAGTTCGCTGCTTCGCCGCTGGCGAACAAGTGGTGCTGGGTCCTCGGTTTGAATCAGCAGCGCCCCGCGTCCTCTCCCAGTCCTGCTCCCCCTCCTCCCTCGAGGCTGGCCTTGCCCTGCCGCGCCGCTGCCACCTTTTTGAAGCCTCATAGGAGCCCCACAGCAGGTCACCATGAAAACGTCCGCGTGCAGTCGTGGGTTTATTTCGCTCGCCCGGCCACGCTTTTCAAGCCCCACAGAAGCTCCACACAAGGCCCATACTAGAAAGTCCGCATGCACTCGTGGGTTCATGTCGTTCGCCCCTGCCACAGAAGGCGCATATGAAACAGTCCGCATGCAGTCGTTGGTTCGCTCATGTCGCACTCCCGTGCCACGCTTTTCAGGCCCTGTAAAGGTTCCACAGAAGACCCACACGACAAAATCCGCATGCAGTCGTGGGCTCATTTCGCTGGCCCCTGCCACGCTTCTCAAGCCCTGTAGGAGCTCCGCGGAGGGCCGACATGAATAATTCCGCATGCAGTTGCGGGTTTGTTTCGTGCGTTCACCCTGGGCACGCTTTTCATTCCCCAGAGGAGCCCCGCGGACGGCCCAAGTGGAAAAGTCCGCATGCAGTCGTGGGTTCATTTTTCTCGCCTGTGCCATGCTGGTCAGGCCCCATGGAAGTTCCACGGAAGGCCCAAACTGAACAAGTTCGCATGCACTCGCAGGCTGCATTCGTTCGGCCATGCCACGCCTTTCGAACCCATAGGAGCTCCAGAGAAGACCAATCTCAAACAGCTTGTATGCAATCGTGGGCTCAGCTCATCATTGCGCACGCCCTGTCCGCGCTCATTTCGCTGGCCCATGACATGTTTTTCCGTCCCTGCAGACCTATGTCTACGGGAAACAAAAGTGATATGAAACATAAGAACTCGGAGGTCCTCGCGGATTTCTCGGATCCGCGCTGGGGCCCCACTGGCGGCGCCTCCAGCGCCGCCGCTGGCGCGCTCCGCGCGCCAGGGAGGGGGGTCCAGCACGGATCAGATAAATTCGCGCGGACCTTCGAGTTGTTATGTTTATGTCACTTGATTCATCTGATCCAATATGAGGCTGAAGAGTCCGCTATAAGAACAGGTTCCTCAAACCATCTACTTCGTCTCGCACTCTTGAGCGATTTTCGGTTCAATGCCCCTTTCGACGTGTATGACGAACCTGATTAGATGTCCACAAAGTGCGACGGTATCACCATTTCCGGTCAAGAGAACGATTATCATAAACACATCGACGGTTTCGGATTTTTGAAAGGTGTTTTGAACCATGGGGTACGAACAACGGATCTTGAGAAAGCACGGTTGTTTGTGGTTTCGACGCGTATGGATTTTACAGTGGAACAGACGGTTTGAAGTCGCAAGGGGGATTGTGTATTTGGGATGTCTTCCAACACGCAAGCGACATGCTCAATGAGTCTATTTCTTGTCAACGGAATGAGGGGAAGGACCCCGCGGTCGTGCGCTCACATCAGGATTGCCTCAACCACACCGTTCAGTTTGAGAACCTCGTGAAATGTATTTCGATTTCGTTCGAGGAGGATAGCATGCGGCAGGAACGCCGCCGAATAGCAGGCACATACGTTTGTCAGAGGTGCGAGCCTATGCCAATGCAACCAACTTTTACTCCAACCGCGTCCATGCATCCACGGCGACCTGACTTTCGATCAAGGAGAGATGCATGCAAATGGTTCCCGCATCTTGTTTCAATCAACCTTACAATGTCTCATTCGCGGCGCTGGAAGTCAGTGCCCATCCTTGGCGCAAGCTCGATTTTGCCACCACGTTCGTGGCGACACTTGGGGATCCAGCCGCTTAAGTGACACCGTGCTCAGCGGCGCAGTGCCGATGTTCACCAACACAGCACAAGTTTAAATATTGCCTCCATCTGTACCATCGGAAAGCATCTCTGCACACGTCGATGTTTCCGACAGGCAGATATTCGAACTATCAGTGAAGAACAGCGTGCCGTTTTATGATCCATTGAAACAAAAAAGTTGACAACCACGCACATCATGTTGATTGGGAGACGCCCGCTCCTTTTGAGCAGTATATGGGGCTTTTTCGGCAGTGCTTTTAGTGATCTTCTCGGATCGCCAGAGACGCATCTGTTTTTTTCTCCACGGGCCGCGCGCACGCGGTTCTAGTTTCCGACATCCCAAATTCAACGACGAATGGTTGACTCGTTGTTGTGTCACGGTGCTTCCTCCGAGCACGTGCGTACGTACGTATGCATACATATGTGTATATATATATATATACATGGATTGGTACGGCTAAAGCACCCGCTTGTTGCATGATATGCGTACATGCATTGCCCCTACCTCCGCCCTCCTCATCCTTATTCGTCCTTCTTCCTCCTCCGCCCTCCTCATCCTTATTCGTCCTTCTCCCCCTCCGCCCCCCTCACCGTCGTCCTCTCAGCGCTGGTGCACAATGAATTCAGTTCGGCACGCATTTGGCGTGCCGTACTCTTCTCCGCAGGAGAACAGAAAGATGCTTCAGTACTCTGCGCTGGCAAGGACGTGCGATATAGCCATTTCCGCTGCCGCGTCCGTATCCATTCGACGACGTAGGCGCCACGAAAGTTAGCTTGGAGGTGTGCTCGAGCCAATCGAGCGCGAGCTCGAGCCACAATGGCTACGGAATACAGCCCCCCGATGTTTTCAATCTGCGAGCAGAGGGTTTCGAATCGAAAGTTGAAGTCTTCATATGTCTGTTGAACTCCCAAACTCGTGTCTGGCCTCTCTCGGGGCGCTCTTGGGGCAGTCTTGGGGCCATCTCGGGCCCCTGTTGGGGTCCTCAGGGGCCCTCAGGACGCCATCTTGAGCCAATTGGGCAAGAGAAGGCGAGATGGTAAAACACGTGAGTCGTGTGTTCCCTTCGGCTAGTTGTTGTTAAAAGGGTATTGGCCTCTTGTGGGCATCCTTGGGAAGTCCCATGGCCACTTGAGGCCGTCTTGGAGCACTCTTGGGGCCTCGTGGAGGCATGTTGGAGACCATCTTCAGCATCGGATTGATTCAGCTCTCGTGGAGGTCGTCTTGATGTTTCTGGGGCCATCTCGGAGCCATCTTGGGCCATCGTGAATGCTCTGACCGCTCGCGACCCCCCCGTCGAGATCCAGGGGGAGGAATGTGGAAGGGCAAACCCCTCCCCGAAGGAGAAGAATGGGGTTGGATGAGGGGGCCCTAAACCACCTACGCCTTAAAGGGATGGTGGAATTTCTGAGGCCTGAATCCCATCAGCCCTCTGGACGGCGTTACCTCCTCCATCATCCACCTTCTCCTCAGGGAAGGGGGTTTACCGTTCCCTTTTGCCCTTCCCCCTGTCCCCCTTGGGTCTGGATGGGGGGGTCGCGGGCGGTCTGAGCGTGAGTAATGGCCTCAGCGACGAGGCAGGTGGAGGAGGAGGAAGCAAGAGGAGGAGGAGGAGGAGGAGGAGGAGGAGGAGGAGGAGGAGGAGGAGGAGGAGGAGGAGGAGGAGGAGGAGAGGACGGATCATGTCGGGTTGTGATCACAGTGCTCTATTCAAAACGAAATCCAGCCAAGGGAGGGCTGGGAAACATAAGTCAGTGATTTTCCAATTGTTTTCAGCTAGTTTGGGCCCCCGGGGGCAGAAACGCCTCCGCCACACACCTCATGCCATCCCGGGGCAGCCGACGTTCTGTGTTCCTCTCGGGCCGGCCGGTGACCGCATGCGCCGCGAGCTCGCCATGTGCCACCGTCCGTTACCAGACATGTGACGTCTGGGCTTCTCAACACGGGGTCCCCGGAAGCCCCGACCCCTTCCCCCTGGACCGCCTTGGCAGCGCGAGCCGTTTCTGGACGGTCCCTGAGGCCCGGAAACGGCCAAACACCTCCCGTCGTGAGTTTCTCGCGTGGCGTGACGAACCAACACACACACCCATACCCATAGGGGGGTCGGAGAGGGCTATGGGTGCGTGTTGTCGGATGGGGGTCCCCGCTCGAACGGGAGCGTTCCCCAGGGTCCGACAACCCGCAGCCATGCCCATAGCCAGTCCTCCTCTCAACGACCCCCCATGGGTATGGGTGTGTGTGTGTGTGTGTGTTGCTCGTTCGTCATGGCGAGCACGTCTGGGCCCGCGCCTCCCCGACAGGACATCGCCCCCGACCTGGCCGCGTGCCGCGCCGAGGGCACCGAGCGGCTGCCCAGCCTGCCGCGGGGCCGCGGGGGCGCGAGCCGCAGCGTGTCGCCGGCCTGCACGCCGGTGCAGGGCAACTCGCGGGTGGCCACGCCGCCCCCGATCCACAAGAGACCGCCCGGGGCGCCGCAGGTGCCGGAGTAGGAGGAGGGGAGGAGGAGAGGAGGAGGAGGAGGAGGAGGAGGAGGAGGAGGAGGAGGAGGAGGAGGAGGAGGGAGGAGGAGGAGGAGGAGGGGAGGGGGAGGAGAGGAGGAGGAGGAGGAGGAGGAGGGAGGAGGAGGAGGAGGAGGAGGAGGAGAGGAGGAGGAGGAGGAGGAGGAGAGGGAGGAGGAGGAGGAGGAGGAGGGAGGAGGAGGAGGAGGAGGAGGAGGAGGAGGAGGAGGAGGAGGAGGAGGAGGAGGAGGAGGAAGCCCCAGACTTGTTCTCGGGACGAGCGAAATTGGTATAGAAAGAATGGGTACGATGCCCAACAGATGTTGCTTTTCATTCTGAACAGGACTCGCTGTCCGCGCCGCCGCGGACGCTGTTGTTTGAGGACAAAAACCGCCTGCCCAGCAGCAGCCGCTGTCGGTTTTGGACATCATTTGTTGTTGGGCATCATACACATGTTTGTTCGTACCAATTTCGGGCGTCCAACTGTTCGAGCCGTGAAAGACTCATGACGGGATGGTTCTTGCCCTTGTCGGGCTCCGGGTGCCCTCGACGGGCCCCAGGACCGTCAAAGAACAAGCCCTGGGCCCGGACCTCCTCGAGCCATCTGTTTGTTTGCGACGTTCGTTTAGCATAATGTTTCGTGTATTGGTTCGGCTGTTCTGCTCAAGTGTCATTGTCATGACTGCTGCTCGTTAACAGTGGCAAAGCTGAACAACGGCATGACAGCCATCTCATTCAGTTTCCACATGCTCCTAGCAATCCATGAAAACGCTTGGCAAATGTATGGCCAATCTTCACAGTTTTTGGCATGCCTTGAAAATTATGCAAGCTATCGGCAGCCGCTGACAGGCTTAAAATTCAACGCGTTTGCATGGACACTATACCAAGCCCTTAGCGGATGTCGGGAGACCCGCGCGCGGGCGCGGACGCGCGCATTGATAGTTTTGTATCATCCACGTTGAAGGCCTAGTGCTTGAGTGGAAGCGCGCGTAGTTACGCGCGCGCAATAAGACAAGCGCGTTGTTATACGATCTAGAATGTCATGTTGCGGGCCCCGAATGCAAGTCACACACTTGGTTTTCACCGTGCAGTTTTCGAGATGACAGATGTCACCCTTGGGTTTGTGTCTCTTGATTTTCAAATGGCGCCGCGCGTAATAGGAACAAGTTGTTCCTCCACAGCATATGAATTCTTGCTGATGCCCAGGTTACAAGTGTTGCAATTGGTGTTCACGCGTGGGGCATCGAGCCATCGAGGCTGAGCCCGTCTGCTCCCCCGCCCTCCTTGACAGCGGTGCGGCTTTAGGCGGTGCGCCCCCCGGTTGTGCCGAGCGGTCGACCAACATTTGTCCTACCCCGCCCAGCCCTCTCTCCTCCCATCTTCGTGTCCCTCCTCCCAGAGCGTACTCCTCTTCCTCCATGTCCCAGGCCTCTCCCTCCCCTGAGGGATTTGGGCGTTGCCATTCTGTCACACCCGGCGTTTTCGCCCAGTTTCGGGCCCGTGGACTGTCATATATCGATCCGTCTCGGACAACCCTGCAGAATTATAGGGGCCAGGGCTGCATATATTCACGGCGTCAGATTGCAGGTCCGTCCAATTGGTAAGGCTTCGGCTTGGTAAGGCTTCGGTTTGCGCTCCACGCCCCAGGGTTGATGTGTTGAGCTCATCCCCCACTCGGGGGAGACTGTTGAAGCCAGCTGGGACTACTCGGGGGCTTGTTGAGGCCAGCCGGGACTGTTCGCCGCAGGTGCCGGGGCAGTACAGGAAGGCCTCGCGGTCCCCAGTGCGGGGTGTCGCTGGCGAGCAGACGGCGCACTTCGGGGAGAACACCGCCTGCTTTGGGGACGAGACCGCCCACTTTGGTGCCGCTGGGAGGGGTGGCGGCAGGTCCGTCGTCCTTCTCCTCCGCCCATGTTGTTCTCGCCGCTTCGTCGTCGTTCGTTCTCCTCCTCCTCATTTTCCTCCTCCTCCTCCTCCTCCTCCTCCTCCTGCTCCCGTTCCTCCTTTGCGTCGTCTCACCTCTCATGTTTCTTTCTCCCTCCTCCCTCTTCCCCCCTGCTGCTGACCCTTCATTTTCTCCTGCCTCCTTCCGTCCTCATATTGCTGTTGTTGCGTCTTCACCTGAGCCTCAAGCCCTCCTCCTTTTGCTGCTGCGCTCATACTACGGGCGGAAGCCGGAGCGTTTGATGGCCCCACAGCTATGATGCAACAGCAGATCATCCTGGATGTCCGTGCCGACGGATCAGAGTTCGAATAACATACTTCTGCTCCTAAACTCCTCCCCCTTCTCCTCCTCCCTCCCTCCCTCCCCCCTTCTCCTCCTCCCCCTCCTCCTCCTCCTCCTCCCCTCCTCCTCCTCCTCCTCTCCCTTCCTCCTCGTCCTACCTCCTCCTGCCTAGCCCCTCCTTGCTACTCCTCCCCCTCTCATCCCCCTCCTCCCGCCTCCCCCCCCTCCTCCCCTCCCCCCCTCCCTCCTGCCTCCCCCCTCCTCCCGCCTCCCCCCCTCCTCCCTCCCCCCCTCCGCATCCCTGTCGCTGGCCCGCAGGCCCACGCGCGGAGGTGCACACCGCGACGGGATGTCTCGGCGGCCCGACGGCCAGCCGTCTCTCCACCGCAGCCCAGCGGATGCACGGCCTCCCTCGTCTTACGTCGGGCCTGTCCCCCTACAGGGGGGACCTTCGACGAAGAATAGAAAATACCCCCAAAAAATAGTCACAAAATCATCCAAACATAGCCTGGGGATTATTTTTTCAGTATGTTTCGCCTTTTTGGGGTATTATTTGGGTATGTTTGATTTTTCGTCGAAAATCCTCCTGTAGGGGGGACCCGCCCGACGTAACCCTCGTCCCCTCCTCCCCTCGCCCCGTCTCTCCTCCTCCCCCGCTCGGGGCCCCGAGGTCGGCGAGCCCGGTGCGCATGTCGGTGCCGCAGGCGCCGCCGCCTCGCAGCTCGGCGCCGCCGAGCTACGCGGCGTATGCGGCGCCGGCGGGAGAGGGCGTCCCTGGGGACAGCAACTCGGAGGAAGGGCTACGGTAGGAGTGGGTGCGTGTCGTGCCGACGCGGCAGCGACCCGAGCAGGCCCCAATGGCAAATGACTTTGCACAGGAATGTACTTAAGAGAACGGTTCACCGAAACGGCCTTGGCAGTCTGGGGGCCCGAAGGGTGTTCGGAACTGGTTCGAAAAGGGCTCGGGTCTGGTACAGAGAAAGGGATTTGGACCAGGCCCCCACCAGGGGAAACGAAAACGTTGAGACAACGCCACCATAATCGTAAAATACGCAGCGCCAGAATTTGTGAAACATGAAAAACGATAACGAGTTAACAGACGCTCCTGCCGCTTCCAGAGCCCAGTAGGGCAGCGACCCCGCCGCGGGCGTTCCAGGGTGAAAGGCGCCAGTGGCACAGACTCGGTCAATATAGAACGATTTGGCGACTGAAAAGCCGCTGGTCGTTCGAGATTGAACGATCCACGCGATGTCAGAAACCAGCGCCAGGGTCATCACTACACGAACCTGCCGTACCGATACTGCTGCCTGTCCTGGAGAGCCAGCCTCCAGGAGTGGTGGGGGAAGGAGGATGACGTGGAGGGAGGAGGAGGAGGAGGAGGAGGAGGAGGAGGAGGAGGAGGAGGAGGAGGAGGAGGAGGAGGGGGAGGAGGAGGAGGAGGAGGAGGAGGACCACGACCACGACCACGACCACGACCACGACAACGACGCCGTCGACGCCGACGCCGACGCCGACGCCGATCCCGACGCCGACGCCGCTGCCGCCGAAGACGACGACGAAGACGACGACGACGACGACGCCAACGACGACGACGACGACGACGACGACGACGACGACGACGACGACGACGACGACAGGAGTCAACCATCAAGGCCGTTGCAGATCTTTTGCTCTGGGAGCGTCTTGGAGGCCTCTCGCGGCCGCGCTGGAGGCCTTTTCTCTTGGGGATCTCTTGGGGCCCTCCAGGGCTCTCTTTGGGCCCTCTCGAAGTACGCCCCCTTGGTACGTACGCAGGTATAGGCGGGAGCGGAGCCGGGGACCTTGAAGTGTGCATGGTGTGCGTGTTCGGTGTGCCTGCTGTGCCTGGACGGTGTGCCTGCTGTGCGTGGTCGGTGTGCTTGGTCGGTGCCGGTTGTGCCCGCCCTCTTCGCTTCACTCCCCGCCTCCGGTGTTGTGCCTGGTGACCCTGGTGTGCCTCCAGTGTTGCGCTCGTTGTGCCTGGTGTGCCAGTGGTTTCTCGTATGCCCCGTTGTGCCTGCAGTGCATGTTGTGCCTGTTGTGCGTGGCTGGTGTGTCTGGGGTGCCAGGCCCGCGTCTTATCCCCATCCCACCTTGTTGTGCCCGTTGTGCCCGTTTTGCGTGGTCGTTGTGATTGTTGTGCCTGCTGTGCGTGGTCGTTGTGCCTGCAGTGCGTGTTTTGCCTGGTGTGCCTGTTGTGCCTGATCTGCGTGCCCGTTGTGCCTGCTATGCGTGCTGTTCGTGGTGGGTGCGCCTGTTGTGCCTGGTCGGTGTGCTAGGTGTGCCTGGTCGGTGTCCATGGTGTGCCTGGTCGGGCTGCCTGGTGTGCCGGGTCGGTGTGCCTACGTAGTGTGCCTGGTGGTTGTGCTTGGTATGCCCGGTGGTGTGCCTAGTGTGCTTCATCGATGTTCCTGGCACGTATGCTTGGTTGGTCTCCCTGGATTGCCTGGTCCGCGTGCCTGGTGGGCGGCCTGGTCATCATCAGCACCATCTACCTCGTCATCAAAAGCATCATCCATCATCCGATCACCATAACCCATCTCATCATCTCAAGACCTGCAGAAATGGTAAAGATGAGAACAGGAGGGGTAACCGACATGCGCATGAACATCTGTGTTCCCGCGGGAAGGCGCGGGAACGAACATGTTCACGAGCATGTTGAAGCATAGACCGTGACAGGTCCATCCTGGGACAGTTGGTTAGACGTCTATCGCAGGCAGTGAAGGCAAACGGAAAGGGAGCGGAATGAGACTAATAATGAATCAACATGAGAGAATGGGGGCGGGAATATTGTTCTCAGAGAGAGGATGAGGGCGAGGAAGAGGAGCAGGGGGTAGGGAGGACGGAAAATAGAGGGAGGAAGGAGGAGCCACGGAGGAGGGATGCACAGAGGAGGAAAGTAGGAGAGGGATTGAGAGAGGGAGAGAGGCAGGCTTGAGGGTGTCTGAGGGCGGAGGAGGGATGTCGCAGGGAGTGAGGGATGGATCAGGGGGATGGACAGACTGGAGAAGCACAGGTGGGTGGGCGAGGGAGGTAAGAGGGGAGGTCGACAAAGGGAGAAGGGGAGGTGGGCAGGAGGGAGGGAGGGAGGGGGCGGGAGGAGGAGGAGGATGAGGAGGAGGAGGAGGAGGAGGAGGAGGAGGAGGAGGAGGTGAAGGACGAGGAGGAGAGGCCCCCCCCCCCGGGCGCCGCCCGCCCCAGGCACGTTCGGGCCCAGTGGCGCGCCGATGCCCCCCTCGTATCACAGGCGCCCGGGCGACACCAGCCGTCCGCCCCGCGCCAGTGCTCGGCGTTCGTCGTTTCTCTTCGAGTTTCTGTTCGGGGGCCCCCAGACGGGGTGGTGACCACGCCGTGTGGTGAGTCGGTGGGGATTCGGGGTCGCCGCACGGTTTTGGGACTCGGGTCGTTCTCCGAGGACGTCTCGGGCGACCGGGGCCTCCGAGGTCCACCGTGCGGTGACGGACCGTGCGGTGAGGTCTTGGGGCATTTCGAGGTCACCGCACGGTCTGTCACCGCTCCAGTTTTTTTTTAGGGGCAACTTTCGAGGTTCCAGGGTTTCTCGACTACTCGAAAAAGGGACTCTTCGCCGGAGTGACCGGTGGTGCGGACCTATTGGGGTCCCCCGAGCGCCGGAGGCGAGGGGATAGTGCAGTCAACCCGCATAACCGCCTGCCTCAGATATTAAATCATACCCACAACCCCTGAGAGTTCAACATCCCTGGCCAATGCAGATTTGGTCGGGGAAGAGGGAGTTGCGAATCGAAGTTGCTATCTTCTTATGTTGAGTAGCAAGGTTCCCTCAGGATTCCGGAGGATTCCCTAAGGATACCTGTAGATGTCTCAGGATTCCTATGGATCTCATAAGGAGTCCTATGGATTTCCTAAGGAATCCGATGGATTGCCTAAGGAACTATGGATGTCCTCGGGGATCCGATGGATGTCCTCAGGAATCTTGTCGAATTTCTTTCGGAATCTCATGGGTTTTCGAAGGAATCTGGTGGATTTCCTCCGCAGAACCAGTGATATCCGAAGGAATTCCATTGCTGTCCTAAGGATTCCTATAGATGTCCGAAGGGATCCGATGGATTTCCGAAGGAATCCTATGGATATCCTGAGAAAGCGGGTGGATTTCCGAAGGATACTTATAGATGTCTGAAGGAATGCGACTGGCATTCTAAGGAATCTTATGGATGTCCGGCGGAATCTTATAGATATCCTAAGGCATCTCATGGATGTCTTGAGGAATCTGTTGGATTTCCGAAGGAATAGTTTGGAATTGTTTCGGAATCTTATGCGTTTCCAAGGAACCCGATGAACTTCCCATGAATCCCACGGATTTCCTACGAAATCGTACGGATGTCCTAAGGAAGCCTATGGATGTCCTAAGGAATCCAGTGGATGTCCTAAGGGGATGGATTTGCTAAGTGATACGATGGATGTCATAAGGATTCCTATGTATTCCCTCTGGGATTTGATAGGTTTCCGAAGGAATTCAATGGATTTCGTGAGAAACCCAAGTGGTGTCGTAAGGAATCCTGATGGCTTTCGTAGGGAATCAGGTGGGTGTCGTAAGGAACCTCATGGACTTCGCAAAGCACCCTAAGGATTTCCTGGGGAATCCAATGGATCTCCAAACGAGTCCAATGGATGTTCTAAGGAACCATGTGCATTTCCTAAGGAGTCCGATGGAATTGTTGCAGAATGTAGCGAATTTCCCAGGGAAGCCAATCAATAGGATTTCTTAGGACACCCACTAGATTCCCCACGAAATCCACGAGGATTCCTTCGGAAATGAAGGAGATTCATCCGGCAATCCACTTGGGAAATCAATGTGATCCCTTGGGAAATCCATCGGGGTCCTTCGGAATTGCATCGGCTTTCCGTGGAAAGCGAAAGGACTCCTTGGGACGTCCATAGTATCTCTTGGGAAATCTATCGGATTACATTGAACAGCATCGGGTTCCTGGGGAAATCATAGGATCTCTAAGCAATGCCAGAGACTTCCTTAGGAAGTCCACGGGATTCTTTCGGACATCCATGCGGCTCCTTTTGAAAAGCAAGGGGGTTCCTTAGGACATCCATCGGGTGCCTTAGAACATCTATGGGGATCCATAAGTATTCCAGAAGACTATTTCGGAAGTCCATCGGCTTCCTCAAGAACTCATTCGGATCCTTCCAGCAATTAATATGATGTTTGAGGGCATACCTTGGAATCTTTGAATACTTCAATAGGATGCATTAGGACATCCAGATCCTTCGGAAATCCATTGGACCCTTTTGGACATCAAGAGGATGCCTTGGGACATCCACTTGGTTCTTTCTAGGAAATCCGTGGGGTTCATTAGGGCATCCGTTCGCTTCCGTCTGGGAATCCATAGGATGCCTTTTGGAATCCATGGGGCTCCTGAGGGCATCCACAAGAGAACTTCGGACATCCATCGGATTCCTTTTGAACGCCATGGGGTCTTTTAGGCAATCCAGGTTTTTTTCCTGACATCCATACGGTCCCATCGGACATGTACTATTATCCGAAGGACAGCCTCCGGAACCCTTAGGACATTCACCGGATCCTTTAGGACATCCGTAGGTCTTGCGAAATCAGAAGGCCCCCCTGTGTAATCATAAGGGTTCCTTGGGATATTCATATGCTTCCAGAGGAAAACCATCGGATTCATCCGGGTATCCATAGGAACCCTTAAGGCATCGATCGGAAAATCTTTAAGGCATCCGATCGGTGCCTGTGCTGCTTGCAAAAACGCATGTTACCTTTAAAGCCCAGCCTGTCACATTTAATGTGCCTTGCCGTTTCCAGGCCAACATGTCGACTTTTCTATCTTTGAAAGCATCCGGAACATGCATGTTAACTTCAGAATCCAATCGGCCACAGTTGAGGGTTCACTTTAGTTCTCAAGCTAACATGACGATTTTCCATTGTGGGCAATGCAGATATCGCCACTCGCGCGCGCGGACGCGCGCGTGGCGAGTGTTGTATCGACCGCAATGGAAAAGTCGCCATCTTGGTTTGGAAACTAAAGTGAACCCTTAACTGTGATCCGCGGTATCTCGGGTGACCCGCCCGCGCGTTGGTCACCCGATCGCGCGCGCGCGGACGCAAGCGTTGCAAATGTTGCACGATCCACAATGGAAAAGTCGCCATGTCCGTCTGAGAACTAAAGTGAACCCTTAACGATGACAGCTTTCATTTCGAAGTTGATTTAAAAATCTGATCAAACAATTCTATCGGAGCCTTGAGGAATTCGCATGCGAATGTCCTCAGGATGTCGATGCGTTTCCGGTGGTATCCGATGCATTTCCTGAGACATCCTATTGATGCCCTAAGGAGTTCCAAGGATTCCGATGGCTTTCATCAGGAATCCCATCGATGTCGTGAGGAACCTGTAAATCTCAGAAGGAAGCCGATGGATGTCCTAAGGGTACTGATTGATTTCCAACGGGTCCCGAATGATTCCCAAAGGAATCCAATGGATGTCGTAGGGAGTCCTATGGATGTCCAATGCCTTCCCATGGGTGTCCAATTTCAAAATAAGGATTCCCCCTCGAATCGCATGGATTCCCTAAGGATTCCGATGGATTTCCTGAGGCACCCTGTGGAATTCCTATGGAACCCTATGGATGCCACAAGGAAACCCGTGGATTCCCAAAAGAACCCGATGGATTTGCAAAGGATTCCACAATTGTCAGTAGGAGCCCCAAGGATTCCCGAAGGAATGGGAATCCTATGGGAACCTTATGGATTTCCCACGAATTTCTGCAGATGTCCGAAGGAGTCTCTTGGATTTCGAAGGAATCCGATGGATTTCCTGGGGAACCAGAGGCTTCCCAAAGGAACCCACTTGATGCCCCAAGGAACCTTGTGGATACTCAATGGAATTATATTGAATTCCCTTGGGGCTCTTATGCATGGCCTGAGGAACCCTTATGGATGCTCAAAGGAATCCGATGGATGGACTTCTTTTGACACTCTACGGAATCGCATGAATGTCTTAAGGAATAGTATTCCTCCTCCGCTCTGCGAACACATCAAATTATTTCGTTTTGCAGCTAAAAATTGTAAGGTCCCGGATCTAAGCTTTTTGTTTGAAGAGTGGCGGTGGGTTTCCTCCTCTTCGTCCTCCTCCTCCTGTTGATGTCTTACAGAATCCCATGGATGCCCGATGGAATCCGATGGTATCCCTATGGAACCCGATGGATTGCCGAAGTATCCTACGGCTGTCCGAAAAAAAACCCACTGGATGTTCAAAGGAATCCTATGGATTCCCGGAGGAATCCGGTGGATTTCCTACAGCAACCTATAGCTTTCGGGAGGAAGTTGATAGGTTCCCTACGGAGGCCTATGGATGTCTTTAGGAATCCTCTGTTTGTCTTAAAGAATCCAATGGGTTCCCTTCGGAACCCTTTGGGTTTCGAAAGGAATCCTGGGCTTTTCCCCTTCCGATTTGTTGTCCTCCTCGCATATTCCCCTTGCGCTCCCGCCTTGTTTTTTTTGCGTTCCCGCCCCCGGTTTGCTTCATTATATATGGTTCAACCGCCGCAAAGGAGCCGATCATGAAAACAATTAACAAGAAATTTACGCTTAAACAACAAAGTTCCGAACTTAAGTGTTTTGGGGCACCTGGTCCTGGGGTTTCTCGTCCTCCTCCTCCTCCTTCCCATGGATTTCCCATGGAATCCCATGGGGTCCCTGAGGATTCCGATGGATTTTCTTCGGGATGTCTCGCATTGCCTTAGGAGTCCTATCGATTCCCCAAGTACGCCCATGTTTTTTTTTCCACGAAGGAAACCTATGGATGTCCCCCGGAATCTAATGGATACCGCAAGGAACCGGATGCATGCCCCACAGGAATCCTGCGCATGTTTTTTGGAATCCTATAGATGTCCTTCGGAATCCCTTGGGTTTTTTAAGGGCTGCCATGGATGTCCCAAGGAATCGTATGTATGTCCCTCGAAGTCGTGGATCTCCTCAGGATTCCAATCGGTTCCCTTGGGAATCGTAAGGCCAAGGGATGGTTCAATCGTCCGATCGATGTCCTCAGGAACCTCACGGATTTCTGAAGGAATCCTTTTGTGTATTTTCTTCAGGCGCCTTATGTATTACCACAGGACTCATATTCTTTCTTGTTCAGGGAACCCCATGGATGTCCCAAGGAATCCTATGGGTTGCCTAAGGGCTCATGTAGACTTAGGATTCCGATTCATATCCTAAGGAAGCCCATCGATTATTTAACGGATCGTGTGGAAATTTGAAGGAACGCGCAGGATTTCCGAAGGGGCCCTATGAATTTCCGGAAGGGGTCTCCTATGGATGGCTTGAGGAACCCGCGTGAATTCTTAGAGAACCCGACGATTGCCTAAGGAACCCGATGCCTTTTCCTAAGGGTTCCCAGGATCAGGTGGCTGTCCTGAGAGGTCCGAGGGATCTCCGATGGGATCTTATGGATCCCGAAGAAGTTCTATGGATGTCTTACGGAGCCCCATGGATTTCCAGAGGGATCCTCGAGCCTAACAGGCCACGGTCGATCAGGGCGACAAGTTCCCTGGGCCGACCGAGCCCGCCAAGCAGTGCGCGAACGCGGTTCCGAGCAGTTTTAAAAAGGGCGACGCCCTCGAGCTGGGCGCGGTGCGCGCGTTGCTCGGCGAGATCGAGGAGCGCGCGGGCGTCTCCGAGAACGTTCTGGCGGTCGAGCCCACGGCGGCCGCCGCCTGGGCTCGGGAGGGTCAGGGCGAGGACGAGCCCGCCGCCCAGCAGCCCGAGGAGCAGAAGCGCTGGGCCGAGAGAGCCGAGATGGCTGAGCACCTGCACATCGCGGTGCCCCCCAAGGCCCCCGCGCATTACACCTACCTCAGGGTGTCCAAGAAGGGGGCGGGCACGGCCGCAACGCCCTCATGCGGCCGTCTGGGAACGCCCAACAGGCCGCCGCGAGGGTCCTCCGAAAGCTCGGCGCCATCGGCCCTGGCGAGGAATGTACCGCGAACAGCAACGTGACGTTCCAGTCGGATGGCTGAACCTGCGGGCTCTGGGCGACGAGGTGGGTCGAGCGCGCCTCGCGCGAGATCCGGGGCGAAGGCCGCCACCCGCCCATCGGAATCAGCCAGGCGCGCGACCGATGCGACGAGTGGGCCCAGAAGCTGCAGGTCGCGAGCGACAACCAGTCCGCCGCGGCCAAGGCCGAGGCCAAGGCCAGGAGCAAGGGCATGGCCAAGCCGCCGATCGACCCGACCGCGGCAGAGCCCAATTGCGGCGCCCTGAGGCGGCGCGGGCTGCGACGTTAGCGCGCGCGGAATACCTCCCGCGCGAGGGCGGCCCCAAACGATGCCGAGCCTGCGCGGGCGAGTGGTTCGACGCGGTTCGCAAAGAGAGGCTTCTTGGCGCGGGCCGCGAAGGGCCCCGCGAACGCGGGGCAGCGCCAGAATAACAGTCTCGCCGAGCACCGGGGGCCGTGAGAGCGAGAATCATCGTCTTCATCCTCTTCATCGTCGTCACCTTCGTCATTATGCTTCATTTCTATACCCTTGGACCTCCGCAGGTATTCTATGACTTTCCTTTGGGATCCTGTGCGCTTCCTATGGGAACCGATGGGGTCCCGAAGGAATCCCATTGATTTCCCCGGGCTATCTGGCGACTGCCTGAGGACTCCAACGGGTTTTCGCAGGAGCCCAGCGGATTTCCAAAGGAAGCTTTCGGATGTCCTCAGGAGCCCGATGGCTTGCCAAGTGGATATTATGGATATCCGAAGGATTCCGATTGATACCCGATGGCGTTCTATGGATGTCTTAAATCATCATATGGGTACCCGAAGGAATCCCATACATTTCCGGAGGAACCGCATTGATTTCCAAAGGCATTCGATGGATGTCCAAACGATTCCTGTAGGTGCCCGACGGAATCTGATATATGTCCTAAAGCGTCCTATGCGTGTCCGAAAGGATCCTATGGCTATCCTTAGTAATTGCGTTCATGTCCTACGGAGCCCGATGGATGTCCAATGGGATGCTATGGGTTTCGACAGGCATCCCGCATATTTCCGACGGGGATCCCATGGGTGTTTTAAGACATCCGAGCGATTGCCTAAAGAATTTTGTGCGTGTCCTGAGGAATCCGATGGATTTCCGTAGGAGGCCAATGTGTTCCCTAAAGGGGCCTGATGGCTTTCCAAATGGTTCCTATAGAGTTCTTAAGGCTTCCCCATGGATGTCCCAAGACATCCAAGTGATTTCCATCCGAATCTCATGGGTTTGCTCCGGAATCCTATGTATTGCCGAAAGAATCCTGTGGATTCCCATCGGATTCCTATCGGTACCCTAAGGGATCCGTGTGAATTTCGTCGGGAATACGATGGGTTTCCATCGGAATGCTATGGGTTGCTTACAGAATCCGATGGATGTCCGACGGAATTCTCTGGATTCCCGAAGGGATCCGATGGAATGCCTGGGGGATCGTACGCGTTTCCTTTCTGGAGTCCGATGGGTTTCCTTCGGAATCCTGAGGATGTCGTAAGGAATCTGCAAGGTTTCCTAAGAAGTCCGTTGGATTTCCTCCAGAGTCCTATGGTTTTTCTTTTGGAATCCTAAGGATGTCCTACGGAATATGATGGATTGCCGATGGAATCCTACGGATATCCAAAATAATATGATGGAATTCCAAAGGATTCCTGAGGATGCCTGACGGATTTCTATACAGCGTCCAGGATCATTTGTTATCATCATCGTCGTCACCATATTCATCATTATGCTGCGACCTCCGGGAAACATGTATCATGCCCCCTCGACCCTGAGGTCCAGCGAGGGCTGCCGGAAAGGGACCCTTCAAGGGGCCCTTCAGGGCCCACAAGGGGGCCCTGAGGGCCCGCAAACGGCAGCTCCCTTCCCCCCCCACCGATCGCCCCCCAATTGCAAGCGAGGCCCAGCTCGAAACTCCCGAAAGCCTCGAGCCTCGATAGGAGATTCGCACCGTCGGAGATCCGCACTCCCTCGAGAAGGCATGACAGTGACCTTTCGCCAGAGCAACCTTTGGTGCGGGCCCAATGGGGCCCCCCGATGAGTGACCTTTCGCCGGAGCGACCGTTGGTGCAGGCCCAATGGGGTCACCCGATCCCTGAACGCGAAGCGGTAACAGCGGCCCCCGCGCGCTCAGGTCTGGCTTCTCCGCGTTTCCTTGTAAGCCGCGAACCGAAGGTCACTCTTGCCTGGGGACACTGTTGCGTGTAGACCCACTCCCTGGGCCGGAACACCGCCGAGAACCGAAGAAACGTCCGAATGTTTGGAAACTCGATGGGGAAACTCGCACTGTCGGAAATCTGTACCCCACACTATCCCCTTGTGTTTTTTTCATACCGTCGACCCCCAGAGGTCTGGACCCCTTCCTTGGGACTGGTCTTTGATCCTGAATCGTTTTTTGATGGCGGCCCCGAGGCCCGGAAAGGGCGATTTTTTCACAGCGCGAGGGGGTCGGTGCAGTGCTAGATACGACGTATCTGAACAATTGCAACATCGTAAAACATAACGCGCCGAGCTGTAGACCCTATCTCTTTACGTCAGTTTTCGAACTAGATCGATATGTGAGGGTCCCGGGGCCTGAAAAAACGAAAACGCCTGGCTCGAACAGAAATTATACGTCAGGATCTCAAGGAACCCGGAAGGCCAGAAGGCGTCCGAGAAGCCCCGCCCCTTTTTGAGCAGGCCCGCCACCGAACCGAACCGAGCCGAGTCGGGGGACTCGAGACGAGCCCTGCGCTTCCGCCTCGGTTTCGAGAAGAGGAGTACGAGGAGGAGGGGGCGGAGGAGGAGGAGGAGGAGGACGACGACGACGACAAGGTGGAGGAGGAGGAGGAGGAGGAGGAGGAGGGAGGAGGAGGAGGAGGAGGAGGAGGAGGAGGAGGAGGAGGAGGAGGAGGAGGAGGAGGAGGAGGAGGAGGGAGGAGGAGGAGGGAGGAGGAGGGAGGAGGAGGAGGAGGAGGAGGAGGAGGAGGAGGAGGAGGAGGAGGAAACGGAGGAGAAGGAGGAGGACGACAAGGTGGAGGAGGAGGAGTAGGAGGAGGAGGAGGAAGAGGAGGAGGAGGAGGAGAATGAGGAAGAGGGTACCCAGGGTCCCGGCCCCCGTTGCCCTTCCCCCTGTGTACGCCGCCGAGCCTGGCCCACCCACCAGAGGGCGGGAGACCTCAGGCCGCGTCGGGCCACTTTTGCGTGTAGGCGAGACCCCCCCGTGCAGCGCGCGGCGCGGGCCCGTGATAGCGGTCGACCGAGCCGCCGCCGCCGCCGCCGCAGTTGTGCTGCCCCCACCAGGAGGCCATGCGAACCCCACCCCGCCACCCCACGATTTCTAAGGGGGGAGGTGGGGTTCACCTCGTTCGGGACCTCCCGAGCAAAGCGAACCCTACCTCCACCCTTCGAATCTAGAAGTCGTGGTGGGGCGGCGGCGGGGTTCGCATGTGGCCTCCTGCCCACCCACAGGCCGGAGCCCGCGCCGCCCCCGCGCGGGGCGGAGCAGCCGGGGCCCCGGCAGAAGGCCTCCCTGGCGGGCATGGCGGCCGCCAGCCGGGCCGCCGCGCATCCGTGAGGGGAGCCGCGCCGCGGCGGCTCGCGGGGCGGCCGCTCGAGCAGTGGCTTCCAAGGTCCTCGATCCTCGCCCCTGGTCTTTCTCCTCCTTCTCCTCCTCCTCCTCCCCCCCCTTCCTGGTCCTCCTCCATGCCTTTTCCTTATACGTAACTTCTCCCTGTCGCACCCCGAGGCAAGTTTTTAGGGCGGGCCGGGCGTTTCGCTTGAGACTTCCTCACCATTTACAAAGCCGGGAAAATCATAACAACATCAACAAAACGATTATCGTGAATGATCTGCAGACGGCAACGCCCAAAGAGGACCTTTCAGTTATATTCGATTTTCAATGTTGGCAGCGTGCGCAAGCGTGCATCATGGGCCAGGTCATTGATATGCCACATTTCGGCTTGCGCGACCAGTGGCAACATTGGAAGGCGGACGCCACTCAACGCCCGGGTGCTATTCGAAGCTGCTCCTTCACAGGCCCGCTGGCGTGGGCGATTCCACGTACTGCCTTGCGGCTTCGTTCCCACCAGTCGGATGGCCAACATGCAACGCGCAATGCAGACGATACATTGTTCCGTAACGTTGACAGGCGGAGGTCATTTGATGCGACGGGCCCCGCCTGGTCCGATTCAGCAAACTTTCGGTTTCCATCCCTGTGCCACTTTTGTTATATTTTCCCCCGGGGATGTGTGGTTCGGAAGGCTTCAACACATGTACCACAGCTTCACCGATGGAGGGCGGGTGGATTTCAAAATGTGGCTCTCGCCAGAGCGCGGCGCACACTCGTTTGAAACATTGCAACCTTCTCATTCGGGCGGGGCGGGTCCCCAGGATCTTCCTTCGAGCAGTGGCGAATCGCCCCGGCTGGCCGATAGGCCCACTGAAGAATGTTCTAAGAACTTTGTGTGGTTTGCGCGAGATTTTCTTAGAATGGGGTCGGAACATACGGTCAGAACGTGCTTTGCTTACCCCGCTTTCGCTTCCAGGTTTTTTTTTTCGAGCAGTGGCGAAGCGTCCCAGCTAGCGTATAGGCGCACCAAAAAGTGTAATACGAACCTTTTTTGTTGTGGTTTGCGCGAGCAGTTCTTGAAGCATGTCTGGCCCAGATCGTACTGTGTTAATATATCGGTTTGATGTTATCATAACACTGTATTGTGTGTAGGGTTTGCTCCTGGTTCTAAGGCATTTCCGTGGTAGGCCCATTGGAATATTGGAACGGTCATTCCTTGCTAAATTTCAGGCCTCCCAGATTGGGTCGGAGTAGATGGGGTCGGAGGATCGCGCCGCATCCTCGATGCATCGCCGATACATCGGCGATGTGGTGCGATGTGGAGATCGATGTTCTCCACGCCATCGTCGCCCATTCATCGCCAACGTAGCCAACGCATTGCCGATGCATCGGCGATGCATCGGCGAGGAGGGATGTAGAGATAGAGTCCAAATCGTCAGTAAGGATGGGTCACCTTCCCGAGGGTACCCTTGCATCCGTGCCTCTTCGGTCCATTTGCTAACCCTTTTCGATTGCCCGCCCCGCTCGAGCAGCTTCGACATGGGCGCACGAGGGGTTTGCATACTTCCCGCACATCATTGCTATCAGTTTGGCTGTAGTTGGAGTCTTGGAAGAAGTCACGGCGGGAACTTTTTGGGGCTGTTATTTTCGGCGAGGGCCTCTGGGGCTGTCAAGAAACTAGTCGGGATGAAAAGAGCTTGTTCCGGGGAGATGGGTCGAGACTCTTGGGGGGGGTTGAAACAATCAGGGCATCGCATGCCCGGGCCCCCAGACCTCCCAGAGGGGAGGAACGGAGGAGGAGGAGGAGGAGGAGGAGGAGGAGAAGGAGGAGGAGAAGGAGAAGGAGAAGGAGGAGGAGGAGGAGGAGGAGGAGGAGGAGGCGGAAGAGGAGGTGGAGGAGGAGGAGGAGGAGCAGGAGGAGGAGGAAGGGGGGACCAGACCAGGCCAAACATGCATGAGCGCTGCTGCCACACACACCCTCCCGCGCCGAGCCCCCCCATACGCCCCCTACGCGCCCTCCGCTTCACTACAGGAGGCGCCCCTGTTAGAAGACAGTCGCAGCTAGGCCTGACATCTCTCCTGGCGCGCAAGCACTTGGCATCGCTCGGACGTGTGCATTTTTCTCTCTTCGGCGAGGACCATCGAGGAGCATCCTTGCTCATTTGGCGACAAAGCCGCGCACGAAACCGAAAAATTACTCCGACGGAAGAACCCCACATAAAAATCCTCTGGGCGAATCTGGAAAAAACCATCACCGTCGTCCTCGTGGTTGGTGAGGCGTCCTGGCTGTCTCTTCTGCGTATATTTCCTCTCGCCTTGGCGCGGGCCCCCCTTCCACTCCTTACGTTGTCCCCATCCTCGCCCCCCTGTTTGTTCCGCGCCCCGCCACCTCCTCCCCTTCCTGTTGCATGAGCGCGCATGTCGATGTTCCTCGGCGCCGTCGCCGCCACGGCCAGCACAGGCGCGTTCTCTACTGGTCACGTCGCGCAGCCGTTGGGACAACCCCGCGGGCCAGGCTGTCGGGACAACCCCGCGAGCCGTTGGCGCGCAAGACCAAGCCGTTGGGACAACCCCGCGGGCTTCGAGCGAGGCGCAGCCGCGCTCAGGCGGAAGGCAGCACGAAGCCCAGCTCTGCCGCGAGCTGCTTCGCCTCCGCCCTGGACAAAACCGTTCTCTTGTCGAACTCCAGGAGCGCCTTCCGCAGGGACGCCGGCGGCCCGCACTCCAGGAACTCTCGCGGCGGCGGCCGCAGGATCAGCATGTTCCGCATGCACGTGGCGCGGGAGAACATGACGTAGAGGTGCAGCCACCACTGCTCGTCCGACATGCCCGTGCGGCCAGCGTCCTCGTCTCTCGCGCAGTCGATGGTGACGCCCTTGCGCAGCGTCTGGCCCTGCGACAGCGTGGAGGTCAGGTAGGACGCGTGCGTCAGGGTGAACCCCGAGCGGCGCACGCTGTGCGCCCCCGAGCTCTGCCATGTGAACTCCCTTTCGCTGGGCCTGAACATCAGCAAGCTCCGCGCCCGCGCCTCGGCCTGGCCGTCGTCGTCGGCGCCTTCGGCGCCCTGTCGCAGCACCTCGGCGACCTGAGGAGCCCAAAAACTTCCTTGTTGCATCCAAAGTGTGGCCTGGGAACTGCGTTCTGGCAGCGCGAGAACCCAACATTGACGACAGTTACAGGTTTTGGATGACCTGCTCGGATTACCAACATGATCTGCGGGCCCCATAGGGAGGGGGCTCCCGCCTGAGACTTCCTCGCAGTTCACTCACAGACGAGGCTCCCGCCTGAGACTTCCTCCATATTCAGGCTTGAGGAGCCCAAAAGTGACGACAGTTACAGGGTTCCGATGACCCGCTCGGATTACCAACATGATCTGCGGGCCCCATAGGGAGGGGGCTCCCGCCTGAGACTTCTTCACAATTCACTCAAAGACGAGGCTCCCGCCAGAGACTTCCTCCAAATTCAGGCTTGACGAGCCCAAAAGTGACGACAGTTACAGGGTTCCGATGACCCGCTCGGATTACCAACATGATCTGCGGGCCCCATAGGGAGGGGGCTCCCGCCTGAGACTTCCTCGCATTCACTCACAGACGAGGCTCCCGCCTGAGACTTCCTCCATATTCAGCTTGAGGAGCCCAAAAGTGACGACAGTTACAGGGTTCCGATGACCCGCTCGGATTACCAACATGATCTGCGGGCCCCATAGGGAGGGGGCTCCCGCCTGAGACTTCTTCACAATTCACTCAAAGACGAGGCTCCCGCCAGAGACTTCCTCCAAATTCAGGCTTGACGAGCCCAAAAGTGACGACAGTTACAGGGTTCCGATGACCCGCTCGGATTACCAACATGATCTGCGGGCCCCATAGGGAGGGGGCTCCCGCCTGAGCCTTCCTCAGAATTCACTCACAGACGAGGCTCCCGCCTGAGACTTCCTCCATATTCAGGCTTGAGGAGCCCAAAAGTGACGACAGTTACAGGGTTCCGATGACCCGCTCGGATTACCAACGTAATCTGCGGGCCCCATAGGGAGGGAGCTCCCGCCTGAGACTTCCTCCCAATTCACTCACAGACGAGGCTCCCGCCTGAGACTTCCTCCATTTTCAGGCCTGGGGAGCCCAAAAGTGACGACAGTTACAGGGTTCCGATGACCCGCTCGGATTACCAACATGATCTGCGGGCCCCATAGGGAGGGGGCTCCCGCCTGAGACTTCCTCACACTTTACTCAACGATGATGAGGATGAGGATGATGAGTGGTGGTGAAGATGAGTGGTGAAGAGGATGATGATTGATTGTGGGTGGTGGTGGTGACGACGGAATTCTCATCCGCATGATGAGGCAGAAGAGGAGAGGGGGTGGGGTGAGTGTTCCTGCGCGGGGTGTGCAGAGAAAACAAGAACCCCACTTTGGATGTGGGGAAAAACACAGGGAATGGACGCCCGAGCGATGGCCAGAGCAGGGGCGCGAGAAGCAGGGATGCTGCAGGTTCGGCGAGGCGTCCAGCGAGAGCCCCCCCCCTCCGTGCGCAACGGTGCTGCGGCCGTGGTCCCGCGTTCCGCGGCGGTCCCGCGCTCGGCATCGTCCGTTCGGCATCGCGCCGCCATGGATCCGTGCAGAGCTGCGTGCGCTGAAGGTGCGGGTCGATCTGACTTCACGAGGATAAGGAGGAGGAGGACGAGGAGGAGGAGGAGGAGGATGAGGAGGAGGAGGACCAGGAGGAGGAGAAGGAGGAGGATGAGGAGGTGGAGGAGGAGGAGGACGAAACTGCTCTTGATGCCGCGAGAGCGCCTTGCCACCTCCTTCCGCTTCGCGGGCCTGGAGCATTTACAGTGATTCAGGGCACGCATCGGATAGCTGGCAATGAGCAGCCGAGGCCTCGTTTCTGAAAGAGGGCAGCTCTTCATCCTGTTAACCTTTGGACTGATCAAGGGATGCGCGCGGCGCTGAGGCTTGAGCCCTATTATGAAGACGCCCCACCATCCGTCCGTGAAGGTGTACCAAGCTGTTAAGGACACTGCGCGCGGCGCTAGGGCAAAAATACCGTTTTGGCAAAGGAACCGCCCACCACCCGTCAAGATAGTGCAATATGCTAAAAACCAACGCACG